TAGTTTTGGGATTCGGACATCGTAATTGTGTGGTTGTTGGATCCTAACAGCGGAAAACGGCTCGAGAAATTTGTTTGCGAACTTCCATAAACTGCAAAAGGGAATTAGATCTGTGTGACTGCAAACCTCTGTTCAAACTCGGGATGATTTCTTAGGCAAAGTCAATCCTGCCCATCGCCTTCGCCTTTCACTATTTTTCAATTCCGTTGCAAAGGGAAACAGTTTGAACGGAGGTTTGCATCACACACATCTGATTCACTTTTACATTTATTAAGTTTGCAAACAAATTTCTCGAGCCGTTTTCCGCTGTTAGGATCCAACAACCACACAATTACGATGTCCGAATTTTCCAAAAAAGTGAGCATCAAACCACCATGTTTGTTTTCCCAGTGGGATGCGTCTATTGTCAAAGCCGATCTTTTCAAGTCTTTAGAATCATATCGTTTTGTTTCTGGTTCTGATATTGTCATATTTTAGTTTTGGGATTCGGACATCGTTAATTGTGTGGTTGTTGGATTCTAACAGCGGAAAACGGCTCGAGAAATTTGTTTGCGAACTCCATAAATGCAAAAGGGAATTAGATGTGTGTGACTGCAAACCTCCGTTCAAACCCTTTCCCTTCCCAACAGAATTGAAAAATAGTGAAAGGCGAAGGCGATGGGCAGGAACGTTAAAACCCGTCCATTTCAGCAACTATTTGCGAGTAAACGACCTGGTGCAGGACCCTTCCTTCAGCGTGTCCAGAAGTCCAACTTTTTGTGCGATGGTTTGCGTCTTCCTCTGCCTTTCGGGTGCGACCGCAGGAGCCTTTGTCGGTGCAGAACGTTTCGTCGACATTGTGGGATTTGTCGGGGAAAAAACTTCTTCAGAATCACACTGGTAGAGATCGAACACTTTTCTAAATTTGTCAAACTGATCGAATTCTGTACTGAACAGGAGACACGGCACGGAGGAGACTGACTGACAACGATTGATTGACGACGCAGGGGGAGGAACACAATGCACGTTCATACACTGTACACGGCAAAATTGCCCCCAAAAAATCTGCGAAACAGCGAGACCGTGAAAGGTGAACCGCGAAATAGCGAGGGATGACTGTAATATTTAAATAAATATTTTTCAGCATTAAAGTTCCAATATTACGCTATTTTCTGATGTTATAACGTTGTTTCCTCATCAAAAACAGACCTGGAGTTGTGTTTTGTTTCTTTCACACATGTTTAACGCAAAACTCTGCATATTTAGGCTTAAAGGTTGTATAGAGGATTTTTTTTAAGGGAAAAGAAATACAGTGATAGTCCTTTTCTAAATGTTGTGCATGCGTGACACCACCTTCCTCCTCCACCGCTGCCTCAGGAGAAACACCTCCTCCTGCCTCTTTACTCTAAAATTCACGCTTGTTTACATCCAGTGTGTGTTCAGAATTACTGTTGAAGTGACCTGTCTAGAAATAATTTAGCGACCGACGCCTCAGTTTTTAGACCTTTCGTCTGCTTCAGTCGCACAATCTCCAAGAATCACCTCAGTTTGGTCTTCGCTCCTTTTCCCGTTCTCTTTTTTCAGCGACCTCAAAAACGGACTTTCTTTTGCGGCGAACTGGTCGTGGATTCTCGTCCGCCATCGCGACAAACTTTGTGTGAAATGCGAGGAAGCAACAGTTTAAAAAAGCCTCTAAGAACCGCTGCATAAACCACGTAATCCCAGCGCGCCGGCGAGTACAGTTATACTACAAATGTAGGGAGTTTGATTGACAACCTGACAGCCAATAGAAAAAGAGGGAGCCTTGTTTTCTATTGGCTGATGTTTATCTGGCCTCACTATGTCCACAGTTGGTTGATTTTTATTCTTTTTTTTTTTTTTTTTTGTTCATGATAATTACAAGGCTGCTGCGTCTCTGTAATGGTATTTTAAACTTTCTTTGACAACAAACAAAAAAAATCCACACAACCTCCATACAACCTTTAAGTTCTTCTCTCAAATAACAATATCAGAAGTGCCACAATGTGTTTCTTAAATCCATACACCTTCACTAGAATCATTTGGATAATTTCAGCTCTGGATCCCCAATCTCCACTGAACAAAAAGGTAAAAAAAAGGAGCTGTTAACTCCAAAAACTACCTCTTTATGAAATCAAAAAGGTGGAGCTGAACATTTTGATCTTTGGAAATAGACGAGGAATAATAAAGGATTACTCATACATGTGTGAATGAAACAAAACAAAACACAACTCCGGGCATGTTTTTGATGAGGCAACAACATTATATCAGCAGAAAATAGAGTAAAAGAAGAACTTTAAATGCTGAAAAATACCTGTTAGTCCAGTATCGATGGAAAATGTGGAGCGTAACAACATTCTAACATGATTTAAAGCTCATGAGAGTCAGTTTTGCATACTAAAGCTCTACGATTAACCCAAAATAACGCAAAGTATGAACATAAACGAGGGTAGACCTTCTGAAATTTTGCAAAGACGGGAGTGGTTACGAGGTCATAACTTGAGCATGATTTAAACCGTGACACAAAACTATTCACAGAAACGACAGAAACGTAAATCACAGACTCACGTTTAGGGCTGAGTGTCATTCAGAAGTTGCCGATACCTCGATACAGTGATCTTATGATATATTTCAAATCAATTCGATACGGTTTACTAAAAAAATAAAGGCTAAATTATGGTAGTGATACTAAAATAGGGTGACCGGATTCTCAAAATCAAAAACTGGGACAGCCCGGTTTGTAGTAGTGAGTAATTAAGCAAAATTGTTCTGCGCTCGGCCCATTCATGACTAATATGTGTGTCAGTAGTCACTTTTTATTTGTGTTTTGGTCGTTTTTTAAGCAGCTTTTCTGTATTTTACCAAAACAAATGGCAATGTTTGTCTCTCTTTACTGTCTGTAGGGATTAAATTGGTCATAAATAGGGACACTTTGGACATTTCTTGTACAGAACTGGGTCAAATCATTTGTTTTGGATAAATCTGCTGGGACAGAGGACACAGGGCTCAAAACTGGGACTGTCCCAGGTAAAAAGGGACGTCTGAAAATAAAAAACTACTACTACTACTACTACTACTACTACTACTACTACAAGTCTTTGTTAAACCGCGTCTTGTGCAGTGAATATGAAACACGCCCATTTTAATCATCAAAACTGTGAAATGTCAAATGTGTCTCATAAACGAGTTTCCTTTCCAAAACTGTAGCACTGTAACAAAATAATTTAGTAAAACATACCAAAAAATAAATAAAAATATATATATTCTTGGCGATAAATCAATGCACGAGCCCACGATACTGCATCATCACATGAAACGATACGATATATGGATATTTCAATATTTCTGCACACTCTACTCACGTTTAGTGGCATTGATGAGGTTCTTTCCATCTTTGTACAGCTCTTTAATAAACCTGTTCGTTTAGTTGTTTTTTTACAGTAGCTTTTCTGTATTTTACCTAAACAAATGACAATGTCTGTCTCTCTTTACTGTCGGTAGAGATCAAATTGGTCAAAAATATGGAAACCTGGGACATTTTTTGTATAAAACTGGGACAAATTTGGATAAATCTGCTGGGACAGGGGGCACAGGGCTCAAAACTTGGACTGTCCCGAGTAAATAGGGACGTCTGAAACTAAAAACTACTACTACAACTACTACTAAAAGTCTTTGATAATATGAAACACACCCATTTTAATCATCAAAATTGCAAAAATGTCAAATGTGTCGCTAAAACGAGTTTCCTTTCCAAAACTGTAGCCCTGTAACAAAATAAAAATAATAAAAAAATAATATAATAAATCGATGCACGAGCCCACGATACTGCATCACCACATGAAACGATACGATATGTCGATATTTCAATATTTCTGCACACTCTACTCACGTTTAGTGGCATTGATGAGGTTCTTTCCATCTTTGTACAGCTCTTTTATAAACCCATTCGTTTAGTTGTTTTTTTTTACAGTAGCTTTTCTGTATTTTACCTAAACAAATGACAACGTCTGTCTCTCTTTACTGTCGGTAGAGATCAAATTGGTCAAAAATATGGAAACCTGGGACATTTTTTGTATAAAACTGGGACAAATCAGTAGTTTTGGATAAATCTGCTGGTACAGGGGGCACAGGGCTCAAAACTTGGACTGTCCCGAGTAAATAGGGACGTCTGAAACTAAAAACTACTACTACAACTACTACTAAAAGTCTTTGATAATATGAAACATACCCATTTTAATCATTAAAATTGCGAAAATGTCAAATGTGTCGCTAAAACGAGTTTCCTTTCCAAAACTGTAGCCCTGTAACAAAATAATTTAGTAAAAATATACAAAAAAATTAAATTAAAAATTATATATTTTGGCGATAAATCGATGCACGACACGATACTGCATCATCACATGAAACGATACGATATGTCGATATTTCAATACTTCTGCACACTCTACTCACGTTTAGTGGCATTGATGAGGTTCTTTCCATCTTTGTACAGCTCTTTTATAAACCCATTTGTTTAGTTTTTTTTTTTTACAGTAGCTTTTCTGTATTTTACCTAAACAAATGACAAACGTCTGTCTCTCTTTACTGTGGGTAGAGATCAAATTGGTCAAAAAAATATGGAAACCTGAGAGACATTTTTTATATAAAACTGGGACAAATCACTGGATTTAGATAAATCTGCTGGGACAGGGGGCACAGGGCTCAAAACTTGGACTGTCCCGAGTAAATAGGGACGTCTGAAACTAAAAACTACTACTACAACTACTACTAAAAGTCTTTGATAATATGAAACACACCCATTTTAATCATCAAAATTGCGAAAATGTCAAATGTGTCGCTAAAACGAGTTTCCTTTCCAAAACTGTAGCCCTGTAACAAAATAATTTAGTAAAATATACCAAAAAAATAATATAATAAATCGATGCACGAGCCCACGATACTGCATCACCACATGAAACGATACGATATGTCGATATTTCAATACTTCTGCACACTCTACTCACGTTTAGTGGCATTGATGAGGTTCTTTCCATCTTTGTACAGCTCTTTTATAAACCTGTTCGTTTTGTCCAACTCCGCTTCGTGCGCCTTGATTTTCTCCCGAAAGCAGGGACTGTCCAAGTAGCACTCACTGAACTCCAGCGGGTGTAGTCCCATGTCTCTTCCCCGAGCTCGGCCCACCGTATCCCCGCTAAGATGAGAAAGGAAAAACCCGTTAAAAGTTGCAGATCTGATCGGGAACAGTGCAGAACATAGCGGTGGAGGCTATCGGGTTAGCATTGCAGCTGCAGGGGTGTAGCTCCACAGTTGTCAAATAAGGAAAAACTTGTTGTGCCAGCGGGTTTGTTGGGTTAAAAAGTGGAGAGAAAATGGACTCGGGGGTAAAAGTTATTCCGGTTTCGGGGTGGTGGAGCCCGGGCAAGACGTGCAGCAGTGTCCGGACCTGGCCTCGTCCCTGAACGTGTCCACCTTGCTGAAGTAAAAGTGACAGATTGGGGGGGAAACTCTGCTGACATCTGCGTGCGTGGAGCAGGAGCAGCGAAAAGTTCAGCCGAAGAGCCACAGCGGCGACGAGATGAAGCGGCGCGCCTCACTTCCGCTTTCACCGCGCGCTTGGATTTTTATGCATTTTCGCAAGATTTTTAATAAAATGAAATGAAAAATAAAATAAAATACGATAAAGTACAGTAAAATTCAATACAATACCATAAAATACAATAAATAAATAAAATAAATAAAATCAAATAAATACAATAAAAAAACAATACAATAAATACAATAAAATAAAATACAATAAATACGATAAATACAATAAAAAAATAAAAATAAATAAATAAAATACAATACAATACAATACAATACAATATGAATACAATACAATACAATACAATAAAAATACATAAAAAATAAAATAATAAAAACACACAATAAAATATGAATAAATACAAATAAAATAAATAAATAAAATACAATACAATACAATACATAAAAAATTAAATAATTTTAAAAAATACAATGCAGTACAATACAATAAAATACAATAAAAATATACATAAATTAATTTATTAAATACAATACAATAAAATATAATACAATAAAATAAAATACAATACAATATCCATACATATACAATATACATGCTACAGGTCTCCAGGAACAGTTGATAGTCAAGGTCAGTTAAATACAATCAATTCAACCATTGTGTGTTCTTGGGCAAGACACTTCACTCACATTGCCTAGTATGAAAGTGGTGTGTGTGTGAGTGATGGTGGTGGTCGGAGGGATCAATGGCGCCGAGTGGCATGGCAGCCGCGCTTCTGTCAGTCTGCCCCGGGGCAGCTGTGGCTACAATAGTAGTTTACCATCACCAGGTATAGAGCAAATGAATAATGCTGAATAATGCTTTGTAAAGTGTCAAAAAAAATTCTGTGAAAAGCACTATATAAATAAAGACTTACTTACTTACTTACAATATAATACAATACCAAACCATAAATGCATGAGCTCAAATAATTGTCTTTTTTGACTTAAAATTAGCCATGTTGTAATGTTGGCACTTCCTCAAAAACATATCCGGAGTTGTGTTTTGTTTCATTCACATATGTTTGAGTAATCTTTTTATTTAGCTCAAAAGGCTCTGTTCCACTTTGTGATGTCATAAGGTGGTCATTTTTACAGCTACATTTTATCTATATGTAACGTCTGCTTTTACTGCGAGGAAAGCAGGCATTATTTAATGAGACAGACCAAATTATTTTATTGATTTAGACATAAAATTAGACAAACTTTATTGATCCACAAGGGAAATTATTTGGACACAGCAGCTCAGACATCACAATATAATATAAAAACAAAGAGTAAAAAATATAAATGGTGATAATACATTCTAAATAATAAGTTAAAAAGATAGCCAGAGAAAGTCATCAAAATAAGGCATAATTATATAAATGTAAATGTACAAATCCAAATAAAATAGGAAAATAAGTAATCAAATCTATTTATTTATTTAAATATCTATTCAGACAGGCTTTTAAAACTTAGTAAGTAAGTAAATTAAGTAAGTTTTTTATCTGTGTAGCGCTTTTCACAGACATATGTCAACGAGACACTTTACTCACTCCAAACTCGGTGTGGTAAACTATTATTGTAGCCACAGCTGCCCTGGGACAGACTGATGGAAGCGAGGTTGACAATCTGCGTCATCGGCCCTTCTGACCACCACCAACACTCATGCACACACCACTTTCATACAATGTGGGTGAAGTGTCTTGCCTAAGGACACAACAACAGTTTTTGCACCTGATTTTCCCAGTGGTCTCTGTGGGGAAGCTGAAGGCCAAAGTGGTCAGAGTAGGAGGCAGATGCAACAAAAAATAGTGTCCTTAACCCAGACAACATTTATTTTAAAACAGACTTCTGGAGTTCACCGACAAAAGTACAAATCGACAAAAAAAAAAAGTAACTCAAAGCAAAACCACCAAACACCTGCACAGAAGTCTCTCCCCTAATTGACGACGCCTGCTTTGCTTTTATACCCCGCCCAGCAGGAAGTACCTCCCCCCAGGTGAGTATCCAGGTAACTCCCAAAAGCAAAGCGAGTCCCCTTTCAAAATATAAATGTTAAACATAAACGTACATGATTTTAAAATGAGACAAAAGCCCCACTTTGTCACAGTCTCCAATCCAAGTACAAACCAGACCCGATCTTGATGAGCTTCTGCACAGCAAAAATGACAGTGTATATGTTAATATTGTTTAAGAGTACATTCAACACCAATCTCGGTGTGTATTTGAGTCCAAGAGTTTGGTTTACATTCAACACTGTCCTCAGAGTTTTATTTGAACACTAATCTAGAGTTAAAATTCCAGCACTAAAAGTGTAAAAATGTACTCTTATCTGTCGGTCACAGGCTCAGTCTTAGTGTTGTTTAAACTCTATAAAGTGTATATTCTAAACTCTGTAAAGAGTATATTCTAACCACAATAAAGTGTTAATCAGTCACTTTAAAGAGTAAAAATATAATCTAGTTTGGTGTTAATTGGCCTCTATGAAATTCAGTTTTTATCTAAATTAGTGTTGCTTAACCACTGTGAAGAGTAAAATTATAATCCAATTTGGTGTCATTTGGGCACTAAAAAGTGTAAAACTGTCAGGGAATTTACCCTAAGACATCAAATTACATTAAATAAAGACACACCAGAAAGAGACGGTTAAAATGTATACTTGCGCAAGGAGAGTCTAACAAAAACCATCACTGTAAAGAGTAAATTTGTAAACCTATTCAGTGTCATTTGACCACTATGTCGATTCTAATTTAGAAATACAATACAACCCATAATTAGTTAAATCACAAGAGCAAAATTAACATATAATCAAATAAAAATTAGATCCAATGCTGTCAATTAATTTTATTTGGCAACAGTGTTTTTGAAAAAGTGCAAGTTTACACTGCATTGTACAATGCAAATACATTCAAGCAGGTAACTTAAATCTGAAAAGGCAATATTAACATGCCTTTTTGTTACTGCTACTGAGAATGTTCAACTTGTTTACAAAAACACATGAACAGGTACAACATAATAATCATCTTTGTCAAACCCATAACTTGTCTGTAAATCAAATGGTTTAAATAACCGCAGCTGGTCAACTTTAAACAGTGACACATCTGAGGCTTTGACAAACTGATGTGGCCACGTAATGTAGATAAGTAACAAGTAATGCAGTGTCACTTTGCACAATTTGTTTTATTTCATTGTTTAATGTTTTGAATGTTTTTATATTGTGTTGGTTTTATTCGGAGAGCACTCTGGGCACCTTGAGTGTTATAAAAGTCTCTATAAATAAAGTTTGATTGATTTAAAGCAACAGTCCCCAACCTTTTTTGCACCATGGATCAGTTTAATATCAGTCAACATTTACACAGACCGGCCTTTAAGGTGTGGCGGACAAATACGACAAAATAAAACAATACGACCAACACAAAAACTGTTATATTTTGTAAATATAATAAACGTATTTACTCATTTTGCAGCTTGCGGATTTAATATTAACATTAATGTTTCATGTGACTGAGACGAGCTTCTTGAAATGCGTCAAGAGTGAGTCAAGCGTGAGTCACGGGCAGATGTAAAGGAGAGAGTTAGGTCATTTTTCAAAATAAAACATTGTTCAGACTCAGATCATAAATAAAACGGAAATAATGTAAGTTGTTTATTCTTTCTGTGCGTCCTGGTACCGAACGCCCCCCACGGATCAGTACCGGGGCTGCTGATTTAAAGGACAGTGCGTATTGACCACCAGTACATAGTCGGACAATATGTTATTAGGTTCTTTTTTCAGACCAAGAGTTTGTTTTCATCCTGACAGTTTCGACTGCTCACTAGCGCTCTTCCTCAGAGTCACGTGATGTTGCTGTGACGTGTCGTTCAGCTGATTTAAACAGGTTTTGGCGCTGTTTTCCTACCGGTGGAGGCAGGACGACAGCACCATCTGCAGTCCAACTTCCTCAGGACAGTATCCCAGGTCTGTGAGAGTAAAAAAGCCCCCTCGTCCCGGTTTATCGTCCCGTGGGCAGTTTCCCGTATTTCGATTGCCTCTTTAATGTTTGTTTTCCTCTGGTCCACTCTGCAGAAGAGCGCTAGTGAGGAGTTGAAACTGTCAGGTCTGAAAACAAACCCTTGGTCTGAAAAAAGAACCTACCGTATTTTCCGGGCTATTAGACGCGCTCTTAAGCCTCTAACTGCATCAAAAAACGACCGCACGCCACAATCCAGAGCGCCCTATACACGAATCCACTCGGGTGTCCCAGTACGACTTCAGTAAACTACAAAGCCGCACCACCCACAGAACGGAGGAACGAACCGAAAAAGCGACTGCAGTGTGCCACTTCTAGACACGACTGAACAACTGAGTCACTGCGAACACGCCGACAATCCGTTGGTCCCAGACAGCACCTCCCTACACGCCACAACTGAACAAAGCCCAGAGTCACCGTGAACGAACAAACAAACAAAACCACTCACCCATCCAACTGTTGTGTTTCATTTAAAGTCCAGTGCGGTTTATTTGTGAAAAAAGGTCAAAAATAGACCATTTAATGACAGTGCGTCTTATAATCCAGAGCGACTAATAGTGCGGAAAATACGGTAATAACAAACAAACATGACCACCAGTACATCAACATAATATGCCAAAGTTAACCAAGATAAGACTCGTTTCCATCTGTCGTCCTTTACCAGCTGTACAAAAGGTTCCCTGGAAAGTGTTCATAATGAGGTAAAACAATCAATCATTTCGTAGTTTAAAATTTAAGCAAGTTTGAGCTGTAACAGTGAAGCAGACAGTCCAGACAGAAACACAAATGTTAAAATTCTGAAACATGGACTGCAAAGTTTAAGTGTGAATATAAACAATGAAACATGAAGGTAAGAAACATTAGTAAAACAAACATAGGACAAAACGTGCACTGTTTAGAAACACTTCTGTAAAACAGTTTGAATATTTTTAAAAATGAGAGCAGAATAACAAAGCACATGCACAATGAAACACAAATTGAGGAAAAAAAAGCTTAATTTCTGACAGAACGAAAACACACATGTACACTCACTCATGCACCGAACAGAAAATATTTGAAGTTTTTACAGAAAACAAAATCATATTCTCAAACATAGCCTTAAAATATGCCATTCAAATTATTATCATTATACATTCAATTATTTTATAATCAAGATGCATATTTAGAAAGCAACATTGTTTTCTGATACTTTTTACAGTTTGTTAATGAAGATTCCAAACTGTCTTCATATTTTTGTATAAAAAATTGGTACAAACTTTTTAACTCTTCATATAATTTTATATGTCCAAAATGTAATTGTAGCAGGTTATTTTTCTTCAGTCATGTAATAGGATATCAGCATTTCTTTAAAACATATATGACTGAAGAACAAGATATGTAAATGAACAAAAAGTGAAAATGTGCATCACAAATTATATTTACTTATTTATTTATTTTTAAATATATTTTACTAAGGAGTTTATTTATCTGTGATTACTCTAGTGGTTAAAAATTATGTTATTTGTCATGTCTGTGCACATGAAATAGAGAAAAACGTAATTTTGATTTCTTTGTATGTCTACTACATGTGAAGAAATTGTCAAAAAGCTAACTTTGAACTTTTTTATATATATATATATTTTTTTCTTGTCTTTTACTTGAAGACACGCTATATTTGAGCTCAGGTTTTTAAAGGAGAGCACAATCTTTACAGGCAAGCACAGCTTTGCAAACATATGCAAAACATGAAATCTTTACAAACAAAGCAGCGCTCTTTAGGAATACAGAAAGAAAAGTCAGAGTTAAGTCACTCAGAATCCACCTCTGAAGTCCAACACGACATATTTATGTATAAGAACATTATTTTTTTTATATTTAGGGCTCAGTTTAAGGTGGATAACAAAACTAGTTCTTGCCTTTCTCTTTACGAAACCAACATTGTGAACGCACATAATTCTCCTGAACATTTAACTCTTTGAATACATTTATAGATTGCCCTTTTTTAAAATAACCACGGAGAAACTCACAGTAAACATTGCATTTCTAAACGCCAAACACCACAATCACCCTTTTTACACTTTGTATTTCGCACAGCAAAAAACAAAATCCAAGAAAGTAAATTTACAACTTAAAAAATCATCCCGTGGAACCTTGTGCTTAGGACCTTATGTTTTCTCCGGGCTCGTTTGTGTGTGACGCGCTGCTCCCTAAACGCTGCAGACTGTGCGAGAATGTGACCAGAAGAGCAAAACATCACAACAAATAATTTTTCCAGCTGTTTTTTTGTTATATTCTAGTTTATTATTTGTTTACGGAGAGATTACGGCGTGATTCAGATTCGATGGAAAACATTTTTGCGATCATTTTGGAACCGTAGCCAGTAAGAAAAACCACAGTAAGTTCCATTACAGATGATTAAAATACACTGATATTGTGATAAAATTGTAATTACTACTATATTTAACTTGTAATATCTGTCTTTAAGTGATACTAAGGTTAGGATTAGATTGCTGCATGAAGAAGTAGTAACTCAGTGATGCTACTTGGGCTATAACATAATGTAATGCTACGATAATTAACATTTTATGCACAGAAATTTCAGCTATTACGATTATGGTGGCATTGATTAGCTGTTTACGTATTTTAAAATAGCATAAAACATTATTAAAGCTTATACATTATATAAAATTGACTCTTGTGAGCTTTAAGTCACGTTATAATGTTGTTACCTCATCAAAAACAAACCTAATCTAACTCTATTTACCCAAGATTGCTCCAGTTTTGAGCCCAGTGTCTCCTGTCCCAGCAGATTTATCCAAAACTAGTGATTTGTCCCGGTTTTATACAAGATATGTCACAATTTTGGACCAATTTGATACCTGGCGACAGTAAAGAGAGGCATAAATTGTCACTTGTTGAGGTAAAATACAGAAAAACTGCTTAAAAATGACCAAAACAGAAAAAAATGTGACTATACTGACTCATGTGTTGGTGATGAATGGGCCGAGTGCAGAAAAGTTTTCCTTAATTATGCATTCGTTTCACAATTTTATTATTACCAATCGCCACAAACCGGGAGTGTCCCAGTTTTTGATCATTCACACATGTTTAAATAATCATTTATTATTAGTTTGTCTACATCTCCAAAGCTCAAAATGCTCTATTCCACCTTGTGATGTCGTGTAGTGGCAGTTTTCAAATTAACAGCTCCTTTTTAACTTAATCCATTAGAGATTAATAATTCCAGGCTTGAAATCATGATCCACATGATTCTAGTGAAGGTGTACGGAGTTTAAAAACACAGTGGAGCACTTCTGTATTACCACGTGACATCACAAGGTGGAGCAGAGTGTTTGTGTGTTAAACAGTGGGAAGAGTGAATGAAGCAAAACAGAACTACACGTGCTTTTCTTTGACATTGCCTTTTATTTTGATGCGATCACGGACGATACATTTTGTGCCGTCTTTATCGTTATTATTAGTTTGTACGACCATAAATAAAAAAAAAAAAAAGAAGATAAGAACTAAAGAAAATGGAACAATCAGAGATGATTTAAAAAAAAGTCTAACACTGTAGAAGCCTTTAAAAAAAGAGAAAAGCGTTTGTTTTGAAAGATATAGAACTCTGAAATGAATGAATTATGCATTAAATTTAGTTTATTTTAATTTATATTTTGTCTCTTATATATACAGTAAGTTTTAAGTGAAAATGTAATCACAAACTTACTGTTTATACACTGTTTTTTTCTTGGAATTCTGTCATTGTTTAATAAGATTTGGCGTTATAAATACTTTTTACTTCAGCCTAAACTCTTTCGGTCATGATCTATGAGGTTGTAGTCTATGTTTTGTTTTGTAGTGCTGCAAAATGACCGAGTAAAACTACTACTACTACTAACTCCAGATATGTTTGTGATGAGGAAACAACATTATTAAATATATAAAATAATGCAATATCGACCCTTTAAAACAAAAAAAAAATCAGGTAATATCTCGAGATGATGCTGAACCCACAGTCTTCTCAATTAATAGAAAACTATCACATTTTTATTTGTCTGTACTACTCTTTAATTTTCATTCCAGATGCCCAACGCCAGCACCAAACCCAAACACGGCCGCCGAACCAGACGCCGACAGAGAGAGGATCCGGCCAGAAACGAGCTGGTGTCCAGTTCTTTGGAGAGCGCCCAGCAGTGCCTCTTCAACCAGGACTACGGCACGGCGTTTGTGCACTACCTCCTCGCACTCAACCTGGCCCCTGTGTTTAAAGACTTCGCCAGAGTAAGAATCGTTTGTGTGTGTTTAAAAATAACCAATTATTATTACCTGATTGTAACTAGTTTGTCCAGCTGCTTCAAAAAAATGGACCGATTTTGATGATTTTTATTTTAAACACTTTACTACACTTTACAAAATGTGACCACACTGCATTTTTCTTATCCTGTTTATAGTAAAACAGGGTTAATATGAGGGGGACTGTAGTCCTTGTCGGAGGTCTGCGCTCTCTGAGTGCTAGTTATTCAATAATTTTGGGAAAATAATCAAAATCTGCCCTGTTTATCAGCTCAGAAATATTGGCCATTGGTTTCTCTGAATGTTAATGTTTACTGGAGATTTCCCTTCAAACCGTGTCTTGTAATATGCTGTGTAGATACAGTGTAAAGTTGAATAAATATCAGTTTTTCTTTTATAAATAGGGAGCCACTGTATTTGTGAATGGTCATGTATGTTAGTCAGTCCTACTGTCAATCAAAATAAGTTTGATATCATGATTTTAACAGAGCAAAGGACTCTTTATCGTATTATTCGGACTATAAGTTGCTCCGGAGTATAAGCCAAAAAATGCATACTGAAGAAGAAAAAAATAAGTTGCACTTTTTAGGGGAAAATTATTTTATAAAATCAGAGACCAAGAACCAACATTTCATCTTAAGAGTCAAGTTCTAGTAATAACAACAGAACAGGGAACAACAGACTGTTAACGTCACATATGAACAGTTCTTCAGATAAACTATAACATAAACAGCAGAACAGAACAAGTTTAACAAACTCTCCATCTCACTCCAAATCCGACCTTTCTGAATCCCGACAGGATGGTTTCGGTGTCACTGAAGTCCAGGCTTTGTCGATTCATCCAATGACTTCAGGAAAGTTGCATGGTGCATCCTCCCGGTGTCACAAGTTTCTCTCTCAGTCCAAACTTTCTTTCTGCTGCTCAATTATCGTTTTCAGCTGCAGATTTCACGACTTGCAGCTTGTAATCTGTAAAATATGATTTTCTTTTTGGGGGCGTTTGTGTTCAGTCTTCTCAGTCGTCTTTATAAGTTTGTGTAGAGTTTAAATTGTTCAGTGGTGCAGAAGTAATAGTGCGATCGACTGAGATCATACAGACAGGACAGAGGCTCTTTCTGCAGGAGACATGCGCAGTAGAGTGAAGTGACAGTGGTACAGGAGGAACAGGAGCAGCAGATACTCACACACAAGACTAGAACCTCTCGACGCTTCAGTGTGAACATTTTAATATGTAAGTCGCAAGTATAAGTCACAGGAAACACCCAAACCATGAAAAAAGTGCGACTTATAGTCCGAAAAATATGTTAGTTGTCTCTCCTTTTTACCATACTTCTGCATCTTATAATGTCATATTTTACAATACAGTATAAATGTATATATATATATATATATATATATATATATATATATATATATATATATATATAGACAATATTATCCATGATAATATTGTCAGACTTGGCGGTATTGACAAAATAGTCTTCAGTCTACATGGTTCTGTAATGTTTATGGTTTCTTGCTGATTTGCATTATCATTTGTGTCTCCTCTTCTCAGGACTCGTTCAGATTCACTCTGTTTAAATGGGCCGAGGAGCTGGACTCTCTGGGGCGCATCCAGGACCTGTTCAGTTGTTATGAACAGGCCCTGGAGCTTTTCCCTGACGACGAGGTCATCCTGAACAGCATGGGCGAGCATCTGTTCAGGTCAGTGTTGTCACAAACTTTGTGTGTGAAATTAGGCTGCACCGTTTTATTATTTTTTTTTATGTTTTATAATAGGATTCTGTACGTTTACATTTTGAACTCTTCAAATGATACAGCTGACAAAAAGATCTTGCACAGAATAAGACAGGAAATCTTGTTGTTTGTGGATGAAAATATTAGGAATGGGACAAGACACAATTTTGACAAAACAAAATCAGAAATGAGATTGAGTCCACGACATCGAGACAAGTCGATATTTCCTCATAATCCATAATTTTAAAAATGTGTGATCCCATTTGCAGTTTTGGTCTAACATTTTTGTTGCATTTAACTCTTTTTTTTTTCTGTAATTGTAGACCTACTTTTTTTCTTTTATTAAGGACAACAGAATATAACACAAAAAAATACAACAATCAACATTTAACAATTACAATAATCAGCATAAAACACCCACAACAAATACAAAACAACAAAAAAAGGCCCCCATTTCCGCCACATTACATTGACACATTACGGCCTAATTCATAATTGAAATTCCTTTTGTCTCTCTTTCTTCCTTTTTTTTTTTTTTCTTCCCCCTTATTTTTAAATAAATTTTTTAGTCCCTATACTTAAACTAATATTATTTTCACCACCATCGTCTTCATTTCCTTTCATAATTTGTATTATTTATTACAAACTTTAACTTTAATTTTAAAGGCATTTATTTGTATGTATTTATTATTATTATTATTATTATTATTATTTATTTTTATTATTATTTTATTATTATTACAACCATAATACTTATTATTGTCTCTAATTGTAGACCTACTTTTTGAAACCACAGCTTCGTACGAGATTTAATTTACCAGCCCTTAAGTCTTTTTTGTCCAATCTAAATGTAAATTACTATAAATGGAAAAAACATCTCCTCAGATAAATTGTTATTAAATTGTTATTAAATTAAATGTTCACAATTTTACCTCACGAGATCTTGTGGAACGAGATCTTGTCCCATCCCTAGAAATTATGGTACTTCAAAAATTGCAACCTTGACGATTTGGTGATTGTGTTTTTGATTGATTTGTGATTAATCTTGCGGCTGTAGTGTCAAATTTCCCATAACGAACATACATTTTCTCCGCCTAAATCGCACCTACGTCCTTTTCCTCAAACAGGATGGGGTTCAGAGACGAAGCCGCCGGTCACTTCCACAAAGCCTTGAAGATGAGACCAGATTACCCCGAGGCCCGCGAGAACTTTTACCGGGTGGCGAACTGGCTGGTGGAGCGCTGGCACTTCCTCATGCTCAACGACAGAGGGAGGAACCAAAAGTACCAGAGGGCCATAGAGCGGGCGGTCCAGAGCGGGCGCAGCACTGTACTGGACATAGGTACTGGCACTGGGATCCTTGGGTGAGACATGAGAGGACGTAATGTTGCTAATAGTGTTGTCATGATACTAAAATTCAAACAAAGAAACTCGATTTCAATCCTAAGGAATAGATAACAACACAAATAACTCGTGAGCTGATTAAACAAGGGTTAAGTCCCTCTGAAATAACATTATAGTGGGGCTGGGTATCATTAAGAAGTTGCCGATACGATAAGGGATGTAACAATAATCGAAATATCGTGATATCGTATTGTGAGAGTTCTCACAATAATATCGTGGACCATCACAATATATCGAATTACAAGTCTCTTTGCTTGAATTAAGAGTTATGGTGCAGCAATAGCTAAAAAAAACAGAGGGAACTACATAGACCATGATCCTTTGCTCCATTTCAGTGCAGACTACAAGAAGAAATAACAGTTCTAAAGGGCTGTTCACACCAAGGCGTCAAAGCGTCCACTTTCAATGTAAAGTCTATGTGGACGTGCGACTAGAGCGTCCTGTGTTTTTGCGGCGCGTTTTCGGCGTCAGCGCGGCGCGAATCTGGCGTCGACGCGGTGCGTCTTGAGCGTGTTGGCGTCAGCGGCCAAGACGCGCGTCCAAAGCGTCAGCGTCAAGAAGTTGATAATGCTGAACTTTTCGCGTCAGACGCACCGCGTCAACCAATCAGGGACGAGTATCCAGTGACGCAGCGACGTTATTATCAGGAAGCAAGACCCGAGAACCAGAACCAGAACCACAAACATGAGCGGAGCATAAATATATATGCCACAGTCACCGAGCCAATCGCGAGGACTACACCAGGACCGGACCAGGACTAAACAAGGACTAGACCGGGAGTAGACCGAGACTAGACCGGGACCAAACCAGGACTTGACCAGGACTGATCCAGTGTCATTAGCGGAGTATAAATATATATACGCCCCAGTCGTCGACCCGATCTCCTCCTTTGATGTTTTATGTCATAAAAACACTCTCTCAGTCTGGTCTGACATTGTTTCGGGAAAAGAGCAGGACCGGGCTCTTGTTTCCAGGGCAACGGACGCGCGTCAAGTATTTTTGTCCCGTTCGTCCACGGCGTCAAAGACGCGCGTCGAGGGCGTCTAAACTCAAATGCAAAGGCGTCCAAATAGAGGCGTCAAGGCGTTTTTTGACGCCTTGGTGTGAACGGCCCTTTAGTTCTTTGGGTTAAGTCTTGTCAAGGCATTTGAAGAGGAAAAAAGTGGCATATTAACAGTTTTAGCCGTTTAGCCTCCACAAAATATCGCAATAAATATTGTACCGTGAGATGTAAATAGTGAAAATATCGTACCGAGAGATTTGGATATTGTTACATCCCTAATCGTGAGTCTTCCTGCTGTATCATGAGCTTTCCTGTGATATTGCAATTAGGAACTAACCTAGGACTGATTCCAGGACTGAAGAGAAGGACTGAACTAGGACTAAAACAGGACTGAACTAGGACTAAACCAAGACTAAACCAGGACTCACTGTCGGGACGGGCTCAGAGGTGACCACAGGAGAAAGGACCGGCTCAGCTCCGCACCTCATGGATGTAAACGCGGCCGTTGCCCGATTTCGCTTTGCAGACACCCTGCTTTGGTGTTCTCTCTCTTAAGTCCAAGATTAGTCCAAGATTAGTCCTGGTTTAGTCCTGGTTTAGTCTTGGTGTAGTCTTGTTGTAGTCTTGGTGTAGTCCCGGCGTAGTCCTGGTGTAGTCCTGGTGTAGTCCTGGTTTAGTCCTGACCCTACCTGCCCGCATACCCGCCTGTAAAATTCCAGAACATTAAAACCCGCCCGTTTCAGCGACTATTTGCCCGATATAGCGAGGGACGACTGTATTGATACATCAGCTCACGATACTGTATCATCACAATAAACGATACGATATATTGATATTAAGATATTTTTGCGCACCCCAACTCGAGATCATTCTAAAGCTTCAGGAAAGGTTCAGTTTTGTCCTGTGAATGTGACTCTTTCAGTATCGATACCTGCCCAAATCAGTATCTATTTTTTGTATCTGATTTCCGATACTTTTGACAACCCTAGTAGTTAACACTGGCAGCGTGAGTTATTTTTCTGTTCAAATAGAGATTGGTTGGTCTAATCTGGCGTTTTCTGGGTTAAGCATGTGTGCTAAGAGGGCAGGGGCCGCAGAGGTGTACGCCTGTGAACTCTCCAAGACCATGTACGAGCTGGCCTGCGAGGTGGTGAGCGCCAACGGACTGGGAGGGCAAATCAGCATCCTCCACATGAAGTCTCTGGAGATGGAAGTGCCCAGGGACATTCCACAAAGGTACAAGAAAGGGCCCATAGTACAGTTTTCACTTTTCTGGTGTGTGTTGTAATATTTCCTTGTCAAAAACAGACCTGGAGTTGTGTTTTGGTTCATTCAGATCTGTCATATTTAAGCTGTGGTCGTCTCTCAAACAAAAAACACTCTGATTTTAATTTTAAGCTCCATACACCTTGATTTTATATTTTATTACTTATCTTTCTATTTTATTGTGACTTGTACATTTACATTTATTTAATTATGTCTTATTTGACACCAGTCTCTTGCTCTGGATTATAAGGCGCACTGTCATTGAATGGTCTATTTTCAAACTTTTTTCACATATAAACCGGACTATAAGGCGCATTAAACGAAACACAACAGTTAGATAAGTCAGTTAAACTTTATTTAACGCGTTCACAATAACTCTCAACTTTGTTCAATTGTAACGTGTAAAAAAAAAAAACTGTCTGAGACGCTAAATTGTTCGAGTATTCACAATAATTCAAAATTGTTCAAACAGTTGGGTCATTATCCGAGTCAGTGTGGTTACTGTTCCCTGGAGTTCAGTTCAGTGATGATTCTGGTCTTGGTGAAAGCTCGGACCAGAGTTGATCCTGATCCTTAGCCCGGGCGTCCACGATCCCTTGGCCGATCGTGGCGTAAGTCGCTCGGCGCTGTCTCCCTGTCTTGGTGAATGTGTGTTCACCTTCTCTCATCCACTGCTCCCACGCAGCTAAACGCACTTTCACTTTATAACATCCTTATAAGTTTAAGTGGGCATTGTGAGCGTGTCTCTTGACAGGTGCATTTTGATACTAAAAGGAATCACAGTTTGTATTACTCCTGATGCTCCTGACTACGGGACCTGTAATGCTGCAAGTGGTGCGGCTTTGTAGTTTACTAAAGTCGTACTAAGACACCCCAATAAATTCATATATAAGGCACTCTAGATTATAAGGCGCGCAATTGTTTTTTGATGTAATTAGAGGCTTTTAAGTGCCCCCTATAGTGCGGAAAATATCGTAGATTTTTTCGTGTTGTTATTATATTATACTGTGATGTGTGTGCTCCTGTGTCCATTTTATTTCCCTTGTAGATCAATAAAGTTTGTTCAAGTCTAAGTCTAAGTCTAGAGGTAAAAGGAACTTGAAAACTACCGCTTCATGACATCACAAGGTGGAACCGATCATTTTGAGCTTCGGAGATGTAAACAGAGACAGAATAATATTAAAGTGTTACTCAAATATGTGTGAATGAAACAACTCCAGGTTAGTTTTTGAGGAGGTAACAACATTATAACTTGAGACTAAAAGCTCACAAGGGTAAATTTTGCATAATATAGGACCTTTCACAACACTGGTAGTAATAATAGCAATATTTTTTGTATATTTCAAGTTAAAATGTTGTTTTTTTCTCCTGTAGGGTGTCGTTGGTTGTGACAGAGACGGTGGATGCCGGCTTGTTTGGGGAGGGAATTATAGAAAGTCTCATTCACGCTTGGCACAACCTGCTCTTACCACGACAGGTAATGTTTCACAATTTTAACACTGTTAGTCTTAAAGCAGATGTATTAAATATTGTGCTTGTGTCTGCAATACAGTTTTTGTGATTAACGATAATATCAAGATAATCATTAATGTTTACGACAGATTAAAAATGTTTTGGATGTGAATGAGTATAATTTTGATATTAAGTAGCTTTTCTGGGAACGTTCTGGTGATATAATGATGATTATCTTTGTTGTCGATTATCAAATGTCGTATAAACAATTATTGTCTACCCTTCTATTATTGCTGATTGTCTGTTATGGCCCCGGCTCGAAAGACCACAACAAAGGAGGGAGGACACGACAATGGCGATAGTTTAAGCTCTCTGCTCGAGCATTTATTAATAAGTTACAATAAATATGTGCAAATAGTGCTGAAGCGTGTTGTGGCAATCGGCTGGTGGCCTGGCCAAGTGGAGTCGAGCCAGAGGAGCAGCTATGGGTCCCTTTTATAGGCGGCTGGATGCGCTGGGCCCTAGAGCATCCGGGTCACCTCGAAGCAGAAGAATAATTAATACAAACACAGCACAACGGGGCCGTAACATTGTCCCACCCCTACTCCAAAGTTGTGAAAGTAAATGAGTGAATTTGAGCTGTATTTTTCTTCTCCACAGACTGTTGATGAGGAGAACAGCGAGCCCTCTGCCTCAGGACGAGTGATCCCCGCTGGAGCCACCGTGTTCGCCATGGCCGTGGAGTGCCCCGAGATCCGCCGCCATCACAGGTCAGTCATACGAGATTTAGTAATAAAATACACTCTAATAAAAGACTGAGCAGTTAAAATAATGTTTATCTTCATTAAAAATGGTTTCAAAATGTTTTCTACCATGTTATAACGCTGTTCCCTCATCAAAAACATGCTTGGTGGAATATTCAGCGGTTACCATAGTGACAGTGACAATGCACAAATCAACAAACACTGCCAAACTTTTGTTTTGTTGAACTTTTTATTAAAAATCAAACACCTCAACAGGACAATGAACGCGCATATTGATCACAGGCTCCTGAAAATGTGATCCTTTTTGTATTTTTTTTCTTGAGAGTCAGTTTTAAAACTTTTTCTGGTCTGTCTGCTGATTTGTGCATTGTGTCACCATGGTAACTGATGAAAATTTCACCATACACATACATGTAGAACACCTCCAGCACGATATCGCTGCAAAGTATCAATAGTAGAACGTTGAAATATCATGTATGATGTAATCCCAGGTGCTTCTATACGTGTGTGTGTGTGTGTGTGTGTGCAGGCTGTGTGTGCCCTCTGTTGGCGGTCTGTCCCTGGGCGCCTGTGGAGACCTGAGGAGCCCGGTGAGCTGCAGCTCTGTGCCCGACGACGCCATGGAGCCGTACACCACCGAGAGACTGAGCCGCCTGCCGGGGGGGTACACTGCCCTCACACAGCCGTTCACCGCGCTCGACATAGACTTCAACAACGTACAGGTGAAGAACACATAGTACGCTGTTTCCTGATCTGTGTTATAATGTTGTTTCCTCGTCACAAACAGACCTGGACTTGTGTTTTGTTTCTTTCACAAACCCTGCATATTGAGGGCCTGTTTACATGAGAAAGCTTGTATCGGAAGTGCCTTTTGTTTAGACGGTGACGGTGTTTTTGGGGCTTAAAAACGCAAAAATCTGAAACCACCCTCCAGAGTGGAAAAGTTGAATACGCTCCGCCGTAGTGTTCACATCTACACTGCCCAAGACGCAAAACTCTGGTCAGATCTGCTCACGTCACGGACACGTTTATGTCACCTACAAACAGTAAACAGAAACAAACATGTCGGACCTTCAAGCTGCTTTAATAAACTTACAGGAGGCTCCCAACAAATGTACAGAATCTGCAGAGATACTATTAGTGAACAGAGAAGGATCTGCAATCACCTCTGTCAAATTCTGGATGCACCAGTTTGTCGCAGGCGAGTCAGATGGATATGGATGAAGACCTGGAGAACCAGTTGATTGTGAGACGACTTTGTGGAAGGAGTAGCTGATGAAAATGCATGGCGTGAAAATGTCTGTTAGGTTTATCTAAACATTGTAAACAAGAAGAAAGACAAGAGATTAATTCAGTTTTACTCGCGAGGAGAACGGGCAGAGAGTGGGCATCAAAACCAACAGTCTCCACACGTTCTGATGCCTCAAGGCCGCTCTCCTCTTTTTATTTCATTAGGAGGCCCTAGTTACAGAACGATAATTCTCAAGGGGAAGGGGAAACCAGCAAAGACATAATAAGAAACTGATGAAGCTATGCATAGTACAAACACATAAAACATGATTAACAATCAGGAGGTGCCTTAGGTCAGACACCATCATAACTCTTGCATGTGTGACAGTGGGAGTTGGCTTCATGTGAGGAATCATCTCGAGGTTCACTAGAGCGATAGGACACTGCACACAGTTGTCAAACACAAAGAGGTTATTCAACAAGTGACAAGTGATTGGTACATTATAAATCAAAGAATTGTAGTACATAAATGGTTAACTCATAGGCCTAGAATATCACACAAGTATTTAGCAAATATGGGATAATAAAATTATTCTGACAATGTCCAAAGACGCCCTTGTTGCTTTAAGTAGAAACATACCCAATCGAATTCCACACACTTTTGCATCACCGTTTGCACGCAGATTTCCTCCTGAAAACGCTCGTCTAAACAGGGAATAAAAAGTGAAGACACGATGCCGTTTTTGTGTCTTCTGTTCAGACCGTCATCATAAAAACGTAGCCTTAGTTCTTCTCTCAGACTGAAAACACTGTTCCTGTGTTACGACATAACATCACAAGGTAGAAGTGTTTTGTGTTTTTAAACTTCATACACCGTCACTAGAATCATTTGGATAATTTGTTTTAATATTGTACTTATTTGTAGATAAAATAAAGGGTTACTCAAACATGTGTGAATGCAACAAAACACAACTCCAGGTTTGTTTTCGAGGCGGTAACAACATTATAACATAGATAAAAGCTCACAAGAGTAAACTTTGCATAATATGGGACATATCCTTTGTTTGTCATATAGTTATTAGTGCTGACAACTTTGTGAGCTTTAACACTGACAAAAATAAACCTGGAGTATTTGTTTCATTTACAGTTAACTCAAGAAAGTGGGAAATATTGCCAAAAAATAAGCTTTTTCTAAACATTTTCTGGCCCAAATGCTTTATTAATGAATTAATCTGATACAATGTGAAATGGGGAGAGAGAATAGACACAACATTTGGCATACGGTTTAGGCTGGAAGCAAACCCACGACACTGAGGCTGGAACAAACTCCTTAAATTTCCATGACTTAATTTCAGAGCTTTTTTTACCAAGGATTTGCCTATTAGCTTACATCACTTCCCACTCTTACCATCAGAAGAGTCAGATAAATCACTTAATACAGGTGTCCAGAACATCATGAAGTATACAGTGTAGTGTTTGCCCGTAGTTATGGAGAGACTGATCACTGATATCGATCACCTGAAGGTTTGGTCGGTCGATATCGATCAAATGGACTCAGTGATACAGTGACGCAAACTAGAGCTGTACAAAAATACCGAAATATCAATATATTGTATCATTTAATGTGATGATTCACTATTGATATCCTGGGCTGCTGTATCGATATATCGCCAGAGTATTTTTTGGTATATTTTACTAAATTATTTTGTTACAGCAGTTGTGTAGCTTTTTTAGTGGAATGAAACAAATTTATGCGGCACATTTCACATTTCACTGTTTTGATGATAAAAATGAGTGTGTTCCATATAAACTTTGCACAAAAAGTGGTTTAACTAAGACTTTTAGTATCACAGCCTTGATTTAGCCATTATTTTTTATTGAACTGTATTGAATCGATTTGAAATATATCGTATCAAACTGAAAGTGCACTGTATTTAGGTATGTATCGTATCAGCAACTTCTTAATGATACCCAGCGCTAATGCCAACTATTTTATTTATTGGAATAAAATAAAATAGGCTGTTGATGATATGAAGTTTGACCAAAATGAAAATGGTTATAGTATCAGTGGAATTTTACTGGCAATTTAAGAAAATAATGAATCTCTGGCTGCTCATCAGTTATCTACACAGGTGAACGTTCCGTCTGATCACATTTTTTTTTTGTCTTGATCGATCAAAACACCAAAACAATTCCTCTCTTTGCAGGAGCTGGAGGGCCTGACCTCGAGGCCGGTGCACAAGCTGTGGCTGCCTGTTACTCACGAGGGGAGGCTGGACGCTCTTGCTGTTTGGTTCCAGCTGCACCTGGACCAAGACAACAGTCTGTCCACTGGGCCGGAGGAAGACACGTGCTGGGAGCAGGCCATCTACCCCGTCCACACCACCAAGGGTAAGAGGGCAGGAGATCAGGGTCATGTTTAGTGGCCAGGTTTACACGATGTTTTTTTATTTCAAATACATTTTTCTGAATTAAATTGTTTAGAATTAAAATATTCTTCTTGGAATTTACATGGAAATAATAATTCCGAATTGAGGTTTACATGGAAAACGTGTTAAATCACCTTTGTTTAATTCTGCTCAATGTCTGGGGGTGGGGAAGGTTCTGATTGGACAGAGACACGAATGTATTTACGTCGACCGGAAGAAAACACACACTTCATCTGCTACCGGCTTTTCTGTCATCTCAGTTTGTCGTTACGCCACGGACACAAACGTTATCCAAACCTTTTCCGCAATCGTTCTGATGATAATTGCGCAGCAGCTGGAGAATTCTGTCATCACGCTTTACGTCTGTCAGCTGAGGAGGAGAAGGGAAGAGCGTCGAAGAAGGAGGAAGAAGACAAACTGAGTGTGAGGCTGCTCTACCTCAGTCCACTCCCACATCCCGCTCACAAATCCAAAGAGACGTGGAGGAAAGTCCAAAGCCAGGACTGGTGGAGCCAACGAGCATGCGCTGAACGACTGGAAATATTTTTAACGAATAAACGTTTATATGATCGAAGAATAAATTAATTCGGCTTTAAAATCGGAATAAACCACCCACTTACTTTGGACTTAAGTTTAATTCTGAATAATCATTTTCATTAAGAATTAACTGTTTACATGGTCTTTTTAAAGCAGGATTCATTTTTATTCAGAATTAAATTATTTTTATTCTGAATTAAGGCTCTCATGTAAACGTGGCAAATGTCAGGCTGAAATTCTTCGATCGATCCTTCCCACCACAATCACACATACACCCTTTTTCATTCTAATCAATGTGGGTGAAGTGTCTTGCCTAAGGACACAATGACAGTTATTGCCACTGGCGCCCCACTGTGCCACTTGGAATTCCCCGCGGTTTCCCATCCAAGCCCCAACCAGGCCCAGCCCTGCTTCGCCTCGACAAAGAGGTTTGGCCACAAATGTTCAGTCTAACCAAAATGGTGCTTGTATAATGAAATTTTAACAATGCTGTTGGAGCTCTTCTCTGTTGGTACAAACTAAACCCCGGTAGTTTGTGACAACAGAGTAGATCTTAAAGTTAATATTGTAAATACTATCATATATTATTTGCTTCATGTAGAAATGTATAGAAACATTCATCATTTATTGAATTTGCAGTCCTGTTTTACCATTGACCTTTAAAAAGAGCTGTGCAGTCACATTTTCTGCAGCTATTTTTTCATATTAAAATGTTAATATAAAGCCTTGTGTTTATTTAAGATTGTAAGATTTGAGCTGCAGAGGGTAGAGTAAACAACTTTTATGGATAATTATTGGTTCCATTCATCGTTTTTGGAATTTGCAGTTGGAATCTTGAGTTAAATTAATGTCATGACATCGCTTAAATGGAAGCCACATCGTGTTGTCTGATATCTTCAATTTTAGCTACTGCAGTATATAAACAATAAAAAGTCACAGCATTTGAAAATAAAGTAGGAGACACAAAAATGGAGTAAAATCTATTACAGTGGCCTTGTGTATTTGAACTCTCTACTGCACTGTTTCCCAAATACTGCATTGTGACCCTCAGGTTCGTGTACGTCTGAAATATACAGTTTTGACACGACGCACTCTGGATCTGTGACCTTATCGTCATTTTAAATAAGCATTTTGTCAGAATATCCTGTCCTCAGTAAGGCCAGTATTTCTCTGCTTATTCCTTTCACTACTACATATTTGTGTGAACTGGGATTTTCTGTGCTCACAAAAATGAAGACAAAGCACAGAAACAGACTGAATGCTGCTCATGATCTGCTGCTGCGTCTCCTCCTGCACCCGGACTGAACACGCTACAAAAACACAGACAGACCCACCTATCTCGTTAGAAATGTTGACATGTTTTGTATAATTTCTAATCTTTTCCTAATTATTTTATTGACTATTTTGTTCCATTATTGCTGGTTCAATTGAATGTTGAAAAGAAAAAATAATAGGCGACTTATGGATCCTTTTATTGTTGGTTCAATTTGTGTTTTTCATTGTTTAGAACTTGGGTAATACTAATTTTTCAGAGAGACACGATAACAACAATAAAAAATATCCTCATTAATGTTCAATAATGGTCAAACCCACCTTTATTTTCTGATTTACGAGTAATGTCTATTGACTTGGGAAGCTTTGTGACTTTTAAAATATGGGTCCCCAGAAAAAAGTTTGGCAACACTGCCTTACTGTATGGTCCAGGTTCAATAAGGAGGACAGCTTTAAGAAAAATCATACATATTGAGGATTTGCGTGTGACGTGGCAGTCACTTGATTTAATGTCTTGGCGGCCATACTGGAGGTCAAGACTGGGGTTCATTCAATTCAATTCAAGTTTATTTACAATATATAGCACATTTAAAACAACGTCAGCTGACCAAAGTGCTTCACATACAAGTCAACTAAATAGAAGAAACAGTCACAAATACATATATACAGAAAACATGTGAAAACTGCAATAAAAACACCAAGATAACCTGACTAGCTCGTACTAAATGACAGGGAGAAGAGGTGGATTTTCAGTCTTGTCTTTGGTCTCTCATGGGCGCTGCCACAGAAAAAGATCTGTCACCTCTAGGGCTGGGTATCATTAAGAAGTTGCCGGTTCGATACACACACGATACGATACATACCTCGATACACTGCACTTTCGATTCGATATGATATATTTCAAATCGATTAGATACAGTTCAATAAAAAATAAAGGCTAAATTATGGCTGTGATAGCTAAAAGTGTTTATTAAACCACTTCTTGTGCAAAATTCATATGAAACTCAAACATTTTAATCCTCAAAACAGTGTCAAAATGTCAAATGTGTCGCATAAATGAGTTTCCTCTCACTCCACAAACAACAAAACTGTAGCTCTGTAACAAAATAATTTAGTAAAACACACGTAAAAATACTCTTGGTGATGTATCAATACGGCAGCCCACGAATATCGATACTATATCATCACAATAAATGATACGATATATCGATATTCCGATATTTTTGCACACCCCTCGTCACCTCTCGTCTTGAGCCTAGTTTTGGGCACGACCAACAGGAGCTGGTCAGGTGATCTCAGGGCTCTGGGCGGAGTATGGGGCTGCAGTAACTCCCTCAAATAGACTGGACCCATAGAGTGCAAACATTTGAAAACAATTAATAACATTTTAAATTGCACACGATATAAGATAGGGAGCCAGCGCGGGTCACACAGAACAGGTGTGATGTGTTCACGTTTCTTAGCATGATCCGGACGGTGTTATTCAGTTTACAATATGATCGTGGCGACTTTAAACAGCGCAAACAACATAAAACTGTCCGAAATCGCCAGCTTGTTAGATAATTCCGACAGACCGCTTTGTTTGTTTAATCAGTGCTCGCTCCAGTATCTGTTTTTTCATGTTAAATCTTCTTTTATAGGAAATAAGCGAACATTTTTTCTTTGTCTTTTACTGGCAAACGTGAATAATGACAGGACGTAATCTGGTGAAAGTGGGTTATCATTCTTCATACCTATGAGAAAAAAATACTTTTGGTATCATTTCATTTACTGTAAATCCCTTCTTCATTTGTTGGAGCTGGTCCCTCACCAGAAATGAAATGTTGACTGGACAGATGGTTGTACTCAGTGGGCTCCATCCCTCTATTTTTACGTCCGCTATCCACGTCTGTCTGCGATCTTTATCAGCCGGGATCCGATAGAAAGATACTTTGGCCTCCTTCTTTAGCAGATTGACTCCGGGCAGAACATCCAATAGCAACGCAGGTCAAAACCAGTGTTATTCAAGTCAAATTTAATCGCACACAAATACTAAACGTTCATCTAGATCAGAGGTGGGCAAACTTTTTGGCTCACGGGCCACATAGGGTCCTAAAATTTGACTGAAGGGCCAGACAGAAGACAGGACATGATGCGTTAAAAACTCAGTTTTGTTACATTCATACTTTTGTAGGACCTAGGACACACACTATACACTGTAACTTTGTTGCATAAGATTCCAAACATGAAAGTGAATAGACCTGTTCCACTACACACCGTAGGTAACTAAGTATCGTAAGGTCACCATTCTCAACTCCAACTGAACAGCTCTAAAAACAGCTCACTTCATATAACTCTGCATGTACATTCCCACAAGTGCAGTGAAACCAGACTCTATGACACTCTATACATTAAGTATCACAACAAAGCGTCTATGAATTTCCATGCTTCATTTTTACCAACCTAAAACGGCAGCAGTGCAGCCTTATATCTTGAACACCACTACTTCAGTCATGGTCCGAATAACTCCTGTAAGAACACTTTCCCATAAAGCATTGCGGCCAACATAATACGCCGCACCTCAAATGTATATATAGTGCGCCATCTACTGGGAAACGCCAGAAATGCAGGAAAAATAAAACATCAACAAGGTTTATTATTGTAATTTATTCCAGTTCGGCGGGCCGGATTGAAAGGTTTAAAGGGCAGTATACGGCCCCCGGGCCATAGTTTGCCCACCCCTGATCTAGATGGATAGTTTGACCTCCAATATAGCGGCATAAAAAAAACGTAATTACGGCAAAATCAAAGTTCTGTATCTCTCTCCACTTTAGAATGCAGTTTTTTCTTTGCTCTTAAAACTTTGCGCCGTCTTAACTTTTCTCCAAACGCGACGCCGGTGTGAATCTAACTGGTGCTGACGCTGGCTGACATGTTCCAGTTGGCGTGCGGGCCCCTCGTCTCTCTGACAGGGATCAACAGTATTTCAAAGCCCGGGTAATTGACGAGGGCAGCGCCAGGGGACCCCCCGCCCTTCGCTCTCTCATCTGTGACATCCTCTTCCGACCGCGGTGACGTCTGCGCCGCCATCTTCCCTCGCGCTCTTAGCGTTCATGAAATTCTTATAAGAGATTAATATGTATTTTCCCCCATGACTGTGACGGAGGAGACAGGAACAGATGTTATTCCTGTAGGAGCTCTTCAGTACAGGCCCGCCCCTGCCTCTGCACCCGCCCCTCCCCTCTGCACCCGCCCCTCTGCACCCGCCCCGCGCATCTCATTTCTCCACTGGGCCCGATTTCCCTCCATCGGATTCATACACTGTTTACTTTTGCTTATTTTTTGTCACTGACTTTTAGGGATGTAACTATATCCAAATGTCTCGGTACGATATTATCACGATATGCATCTCACGATACGATATTTATTGCGATATTTTGAAGAAGGCTAATGTAACTATAGATGGGACACTTTTTAGCTTTTAAAATACCTTGACAAGATTTTGGTGTGAATTATTACTGTCATAATTTCAAGAATTCAAGTAAACATTTGGACTCGGTCTTGTCTCGGTCTTGGTGGTGCTTGGTCTCAGTCTTGTCTCGGTCTTGATGGCGCTTGGTCTCGTTCTTGTCTCAGTCTTGATGGCACTTGGACTCGTTTCTTGTCTCGGTTTTGATGGCGCTTGGACTCAGTCTTGTCTTGGTCTTGATGGAGCTTGGTCTCGTTCTTGCCTTGGTCTTGATGGCACTTGGACTCGTTTCTTGTCTCGGTTTTGATGGCGCTTGGACTCAGTCTTGTCTTGGTCTTGATGGAGCTTGGTCTCGTTCTTGTCTCGGTCTTGATGGCGCTTGGTCTCGTTCTTGTCTCAGTCTTGATGGCACTTGGACTCGTTTCTTGTCTCGGTTTTGATGGCGCTTGGACTCAGTCTTGTCTTGGTCTTGATGGCGCTTGGTCTCAGTCTTGTCTCGGTCTTGATGGCGCTTGGTCTCGTTCTTGCCTTGGTCTTGATGGAGCTTGATCTCAGTCTTGTCTTGGTCTTGATGGAGCTTGGTCTCGTTCTTGCCTTGGTCTTGATCGCCCTTGGTCTCTGTCTTGTCTCGGTCTTGATGGCGCTTGGACTCGGTCTTGATGGCGCTTGGACTCAGTCTTGTCTTGGTCTTGATCGCCCTTGGTCTCGGTCGTGTCTCGGTCTTGATGGCGCTTGGACTCGGTCTTGTCTTGGTCTTGATCGCCCTTGGTCTCTGTCTTGTCTCGGTCTTGATGGCGCTTGGACTCGGTCTTGTCTCGGTCTTGTCTCGGACTCGAGGTCTGACACTTGTCAAGTACGATCGTATTTCATTACAGCCAGTAAATGTTCAGTGGCTGCTCAATATCACTGCAAAACCAGTAAGAAAATTTAACTGTAAATGTTATTAACTTCAAAAAAACAACACTTGATTCACTTTTAAATTGTTTTCTGTAAAGTGCCAGTGGAAGCGGGATTAAAGAAGAGGTTCTCAAACTGTTGGTGAGGGTAAAGGGGCACCGAGTTTAAGTTTAAGTGCAGTACAGTTTGCTTTAAATGAACATTAATCAGATCAAATAGTGACAGATTTATAAAAACATAGATATAAATGTGCCAAAATAACAGTAAAATACAAATAAACGTTGAAAATGACAAAGAAGGTCTTGATTTGGTCTCGATGGGTGAGGGTCTCTGTCTTGTCTCAGTCTCGATTTTTTTATTAAATTCTATTTAATAATTTAATAATTTAATTTAATAATTTAATAACTTCATCTGACCAAAGTCTTCTTTTTTGTTGACTTGTATGTGAAGCAAACAGTTACATATACAGATATACAGATAACGTGAAAACTACAATAAAAACACCAAGATAACTTTCAAAAGTCTTGATCTTGTCTTGGTCTCGGGAGCCTCTGGTCTTGGACTAGTCTTGGTCTTGATTAGTCTTGACTACAACACTAAATGTACTTCAAAATTTGTTATTGTGACACACCTAATCAGGAGTAAACTGGGCTCAAATTCAATGCTCTGTTCTTTTTAATTAATCATAACATTAATACCTTGTTCTGTTTTTTGTTTCGACAGATTTCGCCCTAAAACTCGGAGACAAACTGCTGGTGGAAGTGTCCTGCAGAGACGCCTATTTGAGACTGTGCAGCGTTGCCGTGCTCAGAGACGGAACTGAAATCCGCCTGGACAAACCCTCTCCGGACCTCCCAGACCATGGATCAAACCAAAACCCAGAGGCCCAACTGTGTACTGCATTAGCGAGCCTACAAACAGACCACAACAAAGCCTTCTGCGTGCTAGAGTCTGCTGAAATGGCCCTTTTAAACAACGAGGAATACCACAAAAGCTTCCAGGACGCAGTTACAAAGCTATTCTCACAGTTAAAGTTAGCAAATCAACATAAACGTCAAAATTCAAGTGAACTTTTTTATGTCCTGGATGTTTCCGAGGGCTTTTCTTTACTTTCTCTGATCGCTGCCGGTCAGGGTCATGTGAAAGCTTACAGTTCGGTGGAGAAGAGCAAGCAACAGGAAGTGCTCAAGAGGCTGGCCCGCTCCAATAATATCCCAGAAGAGAGTTTGGAGTTTTGGCTCAACGGCGCAGAGGAAGAGCAAGGCGTTTTCCAGAGACCGTCTACAGAAAAGCTCTGGAGCGCCATCATGCTGGACTGTGTGGAGACGTGCGGGCTGATCAGGCAGAAACTCATGGACAAGGCGTCATTAGCGAGGTAAACAAAGGGCGCTGTGCTGGTGTTGTTATAAGGCTAAAACTGCAAACACAATTTTGATATGAAGGAATAGTGTGAGTTTTTTTTCTGTGTGTTTAGATTTGGATTGGAGAAAAAACGGGTTAAGAGGTGACGAGTTACATTTCTTGAGATCTTTAGAACAAAAAAGCAGTACTACAATGACATCTAAATAGTAAATACAGCAACTCGTGTCACAAAATTGTCTCTTCTTATCCTTAGATCTTAATGACATCACGCTGGGTGTGTTTTACATGCATCTCTAATGGTGAAATGTTACCATGTGACACAATGTACCGATTAAAACTGAAAAAGAGTCAAAAAAATACAAAAATGTATTTAAATTGCACATTTTCAGGAGCCTGTGATTTCAATGTTTGATTGTTTTGTTTTTATTTCAAGTTTGTGCCAAGAGAGAAACGATAATCATAAACATACTAAATATACATTGTGAACCGCAGAAAAGCACATTTTTTGAAAAGGAGTGAGAAAAAGAAAAACGTATATTAACCCACCACTTTTCATGACAAAGGATGTGGTTGCTTCTGTACACTGATGACGAAACTTTACAAATATTTACATATAGCAAAATAAATGACAAACTATGCATACTAAATATCATTATTCATATCATTTTTAACCAATTTTTTTCTTGTATTGTACTGTATTATGGTCGTACAAACTAATAATAATGATAAAGAAGAAGTTTATTGTTTATGATCGTATCAAAATAAGCTAAATGAGAATGAAGAATGTAAGGATTTTTTTTTTCCATTTATGGTCGTCGACCCGCACAAATTAACGCACCTGCTGTAGTTCCAATGAAGTCACGTCTTTCTAGTCAGATTATGTTAAAACAAATCTTAGAGACATTGGCTTCAAACTGTCGATATTCTTTCTTCAAACATCATTGTTTTTCTCCAGTTGTGTACCGACCGTGTGTTTGTATCTGGGTCTGTTTCAGGTGTCTGCTGGAGGAGGGAGGCAGGATATTCCCAGAGAGGATCGTAGTCCACGGTCTGCTGGTGGAGTCGGACACGCTGCTGCTGGAGAGCGCCGTCCAGGGACAAGAGCCCACCCTGGGATTCAACATCGCTCCTTTTATCAACCAGTTCACAGTGAGTGCTCTCTTTGACTTTTATTTCAGCAAAATCATTTTCTTTTTAGCTTTCTACTACGTTATAATGTTGTTCCCTCATCAAAAACATGTCTGAAGAGCTTTTAGCCTACTGATACTTTACAGTGACGTCTTGCTGGGGGTGTTCTACATATATGTTTTTGGTGGAATGTTCTACAGTTACCATGGACACACATTACACACTTTAGCAATCTCTGCCAAAATTGTTTTTAAATAGTCTGAAACTCAAGGAAAAAACACAAAATGGATTTAAACAACACATTTTTAGGAGCTTGAGATCGGTACAAACGTTGATCCTGTTTAGCTGTTTGATTTTCAACAAAAAGGTGAGACTGTTAACCAGCTTGTGACTATAATTTTATGTCTGACACTCTTACTTGCTGTAGTTCAGATAAGTCAGCTCTTCCTGGTCAGACTGTTTCAAAACAAAGATCAGATTAAAGTCTATTAGAGTTTCTGACAGAGTAGTGCCTTCACCAGGGAATGATGATGAACAGTTAGTAGTAATGCAGCCTTCGTTTATTGATCTCAGATATGACTTCACGTCCACGCTTCAACCACTTTATTATGTTTCGTGCGTCCGACTCAGAGAAAAACATGGACGCTAAACAGAAAGCTGTTGTTGCTTTAGCACTGGCCGAGTACCAGAAGCTTTAAAGTCTGTGCTTCAACTACTAGGGGTGTAACGATATCCAAGTCTCACGATACGATATTGTCACGGTATGAACCTCACTGTACGATATTTATTGCGATATTTTGTGGAGGCTAAACAGCTAAAACTGTTAATATGCTACGTTTTCCTCTTAAAATTCCTTGACAAGACTTAATCCAAAGAACTAAGACTTAAAAGTGCTTAGAACTGTTATTTCTTCATGTAGTCTGCACTGAAATGGAGCAAAGGATCATGGTCTATGTAGTTCTGTCTTTTTTTAGCTATTTCTGCACCATAACTCTTAATTTAAGCAAAGAGACTTGTAATTCGATATATTGTGATGGCGCACGATATTATTGTGAGAACTTTGATGATACGATATCACGATATTTCGGTTATTGTAACATCCGTATCAACTACACAACCTCCAGGAAGAATAAATGAGTATAAATTGTATAAAAATTCTATTTATTAGTGAAGTGAAAACATTGGTGTCACGTGATAGTAGAACATTTTGGCACGTTAGCAGGAAATGGACTAAAAAGATGGGCGACACGACTGCACCCACAGGCAGTGATGCAGACGCAGTAAGATATTGCAGGAATACGAGTGACTGAAATTGTCATTTAAACCATCAAAGCGTCCAAACGCAATGAAAACAGTTCATACTTAAAAGCAAAATTGTGTGCGAAACCCTCCTCTGAGCTCTTCCGAGTTCCGGGTTCTGTTGTCCGAGGAAAAGGGGCATGTCAGTGCGTATCACTAGACAATGTCCTCAGACCTCCGAGTCGGATGGATAAACAAACGCACCATAAGATTCTGTACGAGGCTCCGCCCACAAGCCTACGTCACCCACGCTCCCACACGACAATTCTCCATAAAAATACAAAAACATGATACAAAACTGTGCACAACGACTTGACAAACTTGATGTGATGTGCAATAGTTTCATTGGCGGGATGCACGCTGGTTTTGTTGTGATAGTGCTCTGAAGGGGGAGTGACTTAACACAGGGAACAAAAGGAGGTGAGACTCTGAGCATCAAAAACGAAAGTGAAAATCATAAAACATGTTAATACGTTGTTTTTGGCGAATACAGCCATTTCAAACCTGTAAAAGGTAACATATGCTGCGTTCAGACTGCAGCCTGAAGTGACCCAAATCCGATTTTTTGGCTTCTATGTTCCTGTATCTGATCTTTTAATGACAGTCTGAACGACACAGATCCGATTTTTTCAAATGCGACCCAGGACACTTGGATATGTGCTCCTGAAACCGATACATATCCGATCTTTTGACATGTGACTTCAGTCTGAACGGCCAAAGCTCATTCATCCACCTACACGTTATCAACAAGCCACAAACGTCACTATTCTGCGCTGAAGTAGGCGAAAATTGTTAATGAACTCTGTGTCACTGAAGCGAAGCACATCACCACTCACCACTCTTGGCTCCGTCTCCACATCCACACGTTCCTTTCAACGGACGTCGCTGCCGCTGTCCCACAAAACACCACGACCAAAAACCTCGTCCTTCTCCTTCTCAATCTCCTCCTTAAAACAAGTAAGTTGTTCATGTTCTGGCTCCGGTACGAGAGGAACTTTAAAATCTCCAGGTGCTCGATGCTGCGTCCATGTTTGGACAACTTCTGTAAACACAGAGACGCTCGCTGCAGTTGACGTCGTCATGTCTCCAGTGCACATGCGGGACACTTTCGGGCCGTTTAATGTTCACACTGGAGTCACATACAAGTCACATTTAATTGGAAATGTAAACGACCTCGCAAAAGCATCGGATTTCACAAAAAAATCGGAATTGAGCGTTAAGCCCTGCAGTCTGAACGTAGCCATAGTGATCTAAATATGTTATGTGTCTGCAGTTATTACCCCAACATAAGTAAAATCCGCCTCTTTAAACACAAAACTTTAGAAACTGGAGCTGGAAGTTGGCTATCGACTAATCTTGTCATATTCCTATAACTTCATTGATTCAGCTGTGAACTCTTTCTGTCTTGTATTCTGTCTCATGTTCCTGATGCAAGCGCCTGCCCTGTCTGCTCCTGCTCACACCACAGTCTGTGTTGGCGAGTTTGCATCATTCACGTTTTTATCCTGACCATTACGTGCAAATGTTAGAAATGGGAGGTGGGAGGTGGTTATAGTAAAAAATCCAACTCTATATAAGTCTATAAACTATTCTTACAGCAAAAATAAATGTAACATTTTATAATAAGGCATACCTAAATGTTTATTAACCATTAAAGGTGCATTATGGAACCTTCTTTCTATGGATATGTCATTGCTCTACCTGTAATGCTCCATGGTATGACTTTAAACAGCTCTACCTTACATTTATTCAATTTTAGGTGGTTTTATAGCTCAGAAATATCTACAAAAACAGGTATTTTGACTGAGCGGGGTCGCCTCTCCATAGATCTGACCTGTAGCTTGTTCTAGCTTGGGTTCCCAGAAGATAGAAAGGTTTAATGCAGGGGTGTCAAACTCAAATCCAAATTCACAGAGGCCAAAATTAAAATCTGAGACTAAGTTGTGGGCCAGACTAAATATGTATTGAAAAATTTGATAGTTTTAGTTATAGTTTTCTCTTCTTTCGATATATGTAATGTGTAATTCCTTAAACGCTGAAACCAGAACAAGCATAATATAAAATAATAACAAAATAATAACAAAATTTTAAATAAATAAATCTGTAGCCGGCGGGCCAACTCTAATATATATTGATATGATCTCGTGGGCCAAATATAATTATATTGCGGGCCAAATTTGGCCCCCAGGCCTGAGTTTGACATGTCTGGTTTAATGCCATACTGTGAAACATTCCAGACAAAGCAAGAACATCTCCACGTAAAAGCATTCGACAGATACTCCACCAGAAAAGTTACACAATGCACATTTAACTAACCATTTACTATCTGAATCAGAATCAGAATTTGTCATTTCAGTATAAAAAATACACAGAAACGAAATACTGCACTCAGGTCCAGGTTAACAGCAGCACAAATAATAATAAAAACTGTACTAAAAATTATTAATTATTAATACATGAGTAGTTCAAGATTAATAGACATTTGTAAATTGTTTGTAGATGCTAAATGAATCCTGTCCTGTAACCGCAGTGAGCAGTTGAAACGGTCAGTTTATAGATGCTAAATTAATCCTTTCCTTCACATTTCTAGTTAAATATTATATGTGAATGTTCTATGAATGGGTAATAACCCTTTTTGACCACGTTTGTAAATTGTTATTAAACACTTGAAGAGTTCATCTGAGGTCAAAAAGAGAATTAGCGTTAATTATAAGAATATTTTTTCCTCTTTAGATGTATTTTTTTGTTTTGTTTTCCCTCCCGTTCTCTTTTATTACTTACCTTTCACACCCTTCCCCTCCCATATAAAAAGAACAGAAGCTATTCTTATTGTCTCATCACCCCTTCAAACCTCGATGTTTGCACTCACGATCTCATCAAGTCAGAATGTCTTTTACTATTTGTACTGTCTCTCATATCACAATAAAACTATTTTAAAACTAGTTCTACAGATATTATCAATAACAATAATAAACAGTGGGTTTTATAACAGAGGAGTGGAATTTTAATTGGATAGAAGTTAAATACATTTGGTCTTTAAACAGAAAGTTACCCTTCCTGGAGGGACTTTAATATATTCAGTCGTAGTGCCTCGGGTTTGTACCTTGTCCACTTTTACGTTTTCCATTAAGGATAACTTTCTGTTTAAAGACAACTGTTTTAACCCTCGTAGAGCATCTGTACTGCTATTTTTTACTCTTTTATGACCCAGTGAAGCACACCTCTTTTTCTTAATCTAAACACATTTGGCTTTTGAAAACATTTCTAAACTAGAAAAGCACTCAGAGAGCGCAGACCTCCGCCAAGGACTACCCCCATTTTTTATATAAATTGCGATAAAATCAGTCTTCTGGATCAGATCCGGATCAGCCTTTGGAATATGAAAGAGGATCCCATTGTCCATCCCTGAGTCAAATTTCATGGGGTTTGGTCAATAATTAACCGAAATATTGAGAAACAAAATTTTCGGCCCCATTTACCACAATGTTAACTAAAATTTCAAAGTGATCCAGAATCCAGGATTTCTTCCGGATCACCCCCAAAATGAAATCAGTTCTTCCTTTTCACATTTCCAACAAATCCTGAAAATTTCATCAAAATCGGTCCATAACGTTTTGAGTTATGTTGCTAACAGACAAACAAACAAACAAACAAACAAACAGAGAAACAGACAGACAAACGCCGGCAAAAACATAACCTCCTTGGCGGAGGTAAAAATACACAGAAACGAAATACTGCACTCAGGTCCAGGCCAAAGCAGCACAAATAATAATAAAACTTGTACTAAATATTTTAATTATTAATACATGAGTAGTTCAAGATTAATAGACATTTATAAATCACCCCCAAAATGAAATCAGTTCTTCCTTTTTACATTTCCAACAAATCCTGAAAATTTCATCAAAATCGGTCCATAACTTTTTGAGTTATGTTGCTAACAGACAAACAAACAGACAAACAAACAAACAGACAAACAAACAGACAAACAGACAAACGCCGGCAAAAACATAACCTCCTTGGCAGAGGTAATAAAGAGTAAACTGTAAACTGTAAAAAAAAAAGAGACCACTTTTTAAAATCGCGCTTTTTTTGTTTTTGCTAATTAACGCTTCACTTGTTAAAGCTTCATTATGTCACTTTTCTGGTGGAGGGTCCGTCAAATGCTTTTCTCCATGGAGATGTTATCGTTTTGTTTGGCATTAAACTTTTCTATCTTCATGGAGACCAAACCAGACCAAGTTACAGGTCAGATCTGTGGAGAGGCGACTCCGCTCACAGTCAGAATGTCCATTTTTCTAGTTTTTTTTTTTTTTTTTTTTGAGCGATAAAACCACCTATAATTGAATAAATGTAAAGTAGAGCTGTTTAAAAAGTCACACTGTGGAACATTTCAAGCAGAGCAATGACATATCCATAGAAACAAGCACCCAAAAAGTTACATAGTGCACATTTTAATGGGTATTTAAAAAAAAACAACTATTAATTAATGGTTAATAAACATCTACACATTATTGTAGGTATGCCTCGTTACCAAAATAAGATCATAAACCTGCTTTTTTACGAGCTTTTTGTCATCGTCATGTTGAATTTGGAACGCTTTCAGATTCTGAGATTTCTTTTGAAGCTGGGCAGGAAGTTATTTGGGGAAAAAATGAAGCAATGGAATCTCTTTGAATTTTTTGTCTTTATTTGGTGTCTTTATTTGTAGTTTTGTTCCTTCCCCGAATTCAGGAAGATTAAAGCTGTAGGATCGTTATTTTAACAGATGTTCTTTGAAGGCCTCAGAGGAGGGCTGGGACTCTGGTACAACTCTGTCCTGAAGCGTTTGGGCTCAGAGACTCTAAGAACATTACATCAGACCTATTGTTCTTGTGTCTAATCTACGACACCGGTGGATCGTGATGCTATAATTTGGACGTTTTAAAGGACTTAAAGGTGCACTATGTAACTTTTTGGTTGGGGGTACATCATTCTGACCTGTAATTTGGTCTTGATTTAAGGTTTAACTCTTTCCCCCATGAAGACGACATTTGACGACCCCCCCTGAACCCTTAATGACGACTTTTGACACCTCCGCCGTATCACTAAAGACGAGATTTGACGACCTTTAGAAATGGCTCGGTTTTTTACATTTAAACAGAGACTGTGATCGGTGGGGGCCACTACAACCCACACTAGACTGACCAATAGGATTCAAGGATATGTTTTCGCCGATTTTTTCCGAAGTTAATCGAAATAGTGACGATGGTAGCTTCCGGAAAAAACACAACACGAAACACGTGCAATGGAAAGATCGCGGCGCTGCGGCGCACAGTTTTAGAAATAATGAGGAGCGGACGTATTTTATGGATAAGTTTAGAGAAAGTGACTTTTATAGATTTCAAAGTGATGATGTTGAAGTTGATTATAAAGTGGAAAACAGCGATAGCGACGGACTTTCGGGGAGAAGGTGAGAATGCCGCTGATGCGTCTGTGTGGAGTCCTGCGATGTCCCAACAAACTATCTGAGCTTTATACTCGATTATGAACCAAAATTGCCCTGAAATCTGGATGTTGCCCAGGCCAGTCCTTTAAAATATTTCAGTCTTTTTTTCCAAGATGCGATGTATAACAGAATCGCTACAGAAAAAACGCTTATGTGGAGCTCTGCACTCGAGAAAATAACCAAGATGACAAATACTGGACACACACTGACGGGGAAGAGTTTTATTATTATATTATCATATTTATAATAAGTTATTATTATATATATATATTATTATATAATAAATAGTTGAATAAGCTAAATGAGTTGAATAAGTTAAATGAGTTGAATAAATAAAATAAGTTGAATAAGCTAAATGAGTTGAATAAGGGGGGGGAGAAGAGTTAATGTCATATTGTGAAACATTCTCGACAGAGCAATAACATCTCCATGGAGAAAAGTGTTTGACAGACCCACCACCAGAAACGTTACACAGACCAAGAGTTTGTTTTCATACCTGACAGGTTTGACTGATCACTAGTGATCTTTAAACAGGTTTTGGCACTTTCCTCCAGCTAGTGGAGGCAGGACGACAGCGCCATCTGCAGTCCAGCTTCCTCAGGACAGTATCCCAGGTCTGTGAGAGTAAAAGGGATACTGTCCTGAGGAAACTGGACTGCAGATGGTGTTGTTGTTCTGCCTCCAACCTGTTTAAATCAGCTGAGCGACATGTCACAGCAACATCACGTGACTCTGAGGAAGAGCGCATGGAGCAGTTGAAACTGTCAGGTATGAAAACAAACTCTTGGAATGAAAAAAGAACCTAATAACATAACTCATCGGAAGACCAAATGAACCTCATTGGACTAGAAAAGTTACACAATGCACCTTTAAGGACTTTAAAAAAACAATAACAACAACAACAAGTCAGCTGATTCTAAGTTAAAAAATGTATGGTGCCCAATGGGAGCTGACATCACCTTAAACATCATCACAACAAGGAGACGTGCAGCTGTCGGATCCTCCTATGGATGTCTGCAGATCATGCTATATGTATATTTTATTTTTCATTTGTACCAAACGCTGCCAAATCCTACACGTATCTCAGAATAAGAAAATAAAATTGGAGAATAAAATATGTACAGAACAGTGGGCGTGTACTAGTGGCGGTAAAAACGGGAATTGGTTGGCGAAATGGCGTCTTGAAAATTACTGACTGGAGGCAAAAATGAGCATTAAACAAAAAAAAGTATTAACACTTGTGCCATCTTTTGTTTTCTTAAATGCTTGTCAGGCGGTGTAATGTATAGTTTTGAATTGTCACACTATTATCATCTTCAACTTAAATTATTTGAAACTTTTTCTTGTAGTGATCACATTCTTGAACTAAAACCGAGATCATCCAAAGTCCTCAAGAAACATTTGAAATTCCCGTAAAACACATTTACATCACTGTGGTGTTCTGTTTGTTGACTTGTTTTGTATGCTTGTATTAACACTTGTATGGTATTTGCACTACTCATTGATTCAGATTCCTCTCTCTCTCTCTCTTTCCTCAGGTACCAGTGCACGTGTTCTTGGACTTCTCCACGCTGGAGTGCAAACGTCTGAGTGAGTCTGTGGAGCTGTTTGTTCTGGACCTGATGGACACCAACGCAAACTACACCACCAGACAAGTCAAGGTAAATGTGTCAGGAAGCATCATTAGTATTCCTCAAAAACCTGCATTGACTCCAGCTTTGAAAACAGAAGAACAAGGGCTGAGGACTGTTTAAAGGTCCTACAGTACATGAAACGGACTCTTGTGATCTTTAAGCCATGGTAGAATGTTGTTAACTCCTAAAAAACATACCTGGAGTATGTTTTTAAGATTTTTTTTTATGTTAAACATATATGAATGAAACAAAATACAACTCCAGGTATGTTTTCATACAATAGAGCAACATGGGACCTTTATTAAAATAATACTACTCTATTACAGTACTTTCTGGACGATAAGTCGCTCAGGAGTATAAGCCACACCAGCCAAAAAATGCGTAATGAAGAAGAAAATAACATATGTAAGTCGCACTTTTTGGGGGAAATTTATTTGATAAAATCAGAGACCAGGAACCAACATTTTATCTTGAAAGGCAAGTTATAGTAATAACAATAGAAGAGAGAACAACAGACTGAATATGTGTTAATATGTTAACGTAACATATTAACAGTTCTTCAGATAACTATAGCATAAAGAAAATAACTTAAGTTTACCCAACTCTCAAGCTCACTCCAAATCATTAAATCCACTGAATTCTTCATTCTCAGTGTCACTTCTGAGCTACTCCGGAGGTAAACAGAGCGCCGCTTCCTCTTCTGCGTAGCTGTCGTCAGACCATAGACCGTATATATGCGTCAGACTCAGCATCAGTTCCAGTTAGAATTATTCGGGCCTTTCTGAATCTCGACAGGATGGTTTCAGTGTCACTGAAGTCCAGACTTTGTCCATCCATCCAGTGACTTCCAGGAAAGTTGCACGGTGCTTCCTCCCGGTTGCCGTGAAGCTGTGTTCTCCATCCCCGCTTTCCCCCAGTCCCTCACAAGTTTCTTGCTCACTCCAAACTTTCTTTCTGCTGCTCAATTACTGTTTTCGGCTACATATTTCACTACTTGCAGCAGGACAGAGGCTTTTTCTACAGGAGACAAGTGCAGCAGAGCCAAGTGACAATGGAACAGGAGCAATAGGACTAGTAGATACTGACACAAAAAACTAGAGCCTCTCGCGGCTGTCAGTGTGAAAATTTTAATATATAAGTCGCACTGGAGTATAAGTTGCAAGGAACACCCAAACCATGAAAAAAAGTGTGAAAAATACGGTATAATTAACCTGTATTTCATGATTTTCAAGTACTGCATTCTAAACAGTTCCTCTCATATTTCTCAGGTCAAAGCCACGAGCGCCGGTAGAGTGACGGCCATTCCCTTCTGGTACCACATCTTCTTGTTTGAGGAGATCTGCGTGAGCACCCTGAGCCAGCACTCCCACTGGAAACAGGCCGCCGCGGTGCTGCAGGAGCCTCTGGAGGTCCGGGCCGGAGAATGGATCTGCCTCACGGTCAACCTGCACAAGAGCACCATCACCATCTCTGCTCAGAGGGACCAGCCCCAGCCTATGGACTAGACTCAGAGGGACTATCCTGCTCAAAGAAAGGTCAATAAAATAATAAAATAGACCAGACACATGCTGACGTTTGAGATGAATTACGGTATCTCAGAATCAGGCGTGTCACGATAATTACTGTTCATACTTCACGCTGGAGGTATTTCTGTAACAGCCTGGTTTTGTTACGACCCACTGACCCTCAAAATTTAGCTCTAACCTATTAATATATGATGAGGTTTTATGTAAAAAATGTGACCATGACCAATTACCAATAATAATTTTACCTCAAACGCAGTGAAAATAATAATAATTAGTGTTATATAGCGCTTTTCCAGACACTCAAAGTCGCTTTACAATCTGAATCTGGTGCATTATTCGTTCACTCCACACTCTGTGCTGGTAAAATACTAATGTAGCCACGGTTGCCCTGGGGCAGACTGACAGAAGTGAGGCTGCCAATCTGTTTATCCATCACCAACACTTGCACACTCTCACATTCACACTAGGCAATGCGGGTGAGGTGTCTTGCCTAAGGACACAGTGACGGTTTTACTGGCGCCCCCCTGTGGTACCTGATACTCCGAGCGGTCTCTCTGAGCTTCTGACATGTGACCAGATCAGGCTTTTTCAAGAGGATTGGCCACAAACAGACACATTTTTCATGTTCATTTAGCGCAGGAGTCTCCAACCTGTAGCTCTCCATCCCTTCCATGTAGCTCACCAAGAGATTTCTGAATTATATGTACCATATTTTTCGAGCTATTAGGTCGCTCTGGATTATAAGGCGCACTGTTCATTAAATGGTCTATCTTCAAACTTTTTTCACAAATAAACCGCACCGGACTTTAAAGGAAACACAACAGTGTGATGGGTGAGTGGTTTTGTTTGTTTGTTCGTTCACGGTGACTCTGGGCTTTGTTCAGTTGTGGCGTGTAGGGAGGTGCTGTCTGGGACCAACGGATTGTCGGCGTGTTCGCAGCGACTCAGTTGTTCAGTCGTGTCTAGAAGCGGCACGTCGCGCTCGCTTTTTCGGTTCGTTCCTCGTCGGCGTGGAGTGATGAGTGTGTCTGCGGGTGGTGCGGCTTTGTAGTTTACTGAAGTCGTGCTGGCAAGTGGATTCGTATAGGGCGCTCTGGATTGTGGCGCGCGGTCGTTTTTTGATGCGGTTAGAGGCTTAAGAGCGCGTCTAATAGCCCGGAAAATACGGTAATTGCCACTGTAAATGTTTAATTGCGATGTCTAACTAAATAAATAAACGGAGAATGGTTTGTGGTTTATAGGCGTCTGACTGTTCTCCATCTAAGGCTTGCCGTGGGGCTTAAATTAACAAAATTTCTTGCAAACACTAAAATAAGCAGCTCTCATTTTCTCGCATTTTCGTTTGGTAAAAGTAGCTCACCGGAGGAAAAAGGTTGGAGACTCCTGATTTAGTGAAAAAGCACAAATTACAAATGACTTGGTGCTAGACTTTTCACTTGTTTTATTTTTAATCAAATTTAATGTTCTTTCAGCGTGGCTCAAAGAGTTCAGATCGTGACACAGGCAGTTGTTTGTGACATTCTGTAGGTACGATGCTGTAACCATAGATCAGGCGTCTCCAACCTCCTACTAGCTACTTTACAAAACAGAAATGCCAGAGAGGTACTTGTTTTAACGGTCGTAACAAATTGAGTACCATATTTTTCGGACTATAAGTCACACTTTTTTTCATGGTTTGGGTGGTTCTGTGACTTATATATTAAAATTTTCACACTGACAGCCTCAAGAGGGCGTTCTAGGCTTGTGCGTCAGTTTTCTGTGCATGACTCTTGCAAAAAAATGCTGCTGTCCTGCTCCAAGTAGTGAAATATTTGAAAACGGTAATCGAGCAGCAGAAAGAAAGTTTGGAGTGAGCTAGAAACTTGTAAAGGACTGGTGGAAAGTGAGGATGGAGAACACAGCTTCACAGCAACCGGGAAGATGCACCATGCAATTTTCTATAGGTCATTGGATAAATCGACAAAGCCTGAACTTCAGTGACACCGAAACCATCCTGTCGGGATTCAGAAAGGCCCGAATAATTCTAACTGGAACTGATACTGAGTTTAACGACAGCGACACAGAAGAGGAAGCGGCGCTCTGTTTACCTCTGGAGGTCGTGGAGTTGCTCAGAAGTGACACCGAGGATGAAGAATTGAATGGATTTAGTGATTTGGAGTGAGATGGAGAGTTTGGTAAACTTGTTCTGTTCTGTTGTTTATGTTATAGTTTATCTGAAGAACTGTTCATATGTGACGTTAAGAGTCTGTTGTTCTCTCTTCTATTGTTTTTACTAGAACTTGACTTTCCAAGGTGAATTGTCGGTTCCTGGTCTCTGATTTTATAAAATACATTTCCCCCAAAGAAGTTATAGTCCAGTGCGACTTATAGTCCGAAAAAAAAATAGTTTAAATATAAGAGCTGCAGCCTTAGATAGGAACAGTTAGATGCCTATAAAAGAAAAACCATTATCCATTTATTAGTGCAGAAAGTAAAGTTAAGCATGAAAATTATACATTTATTAAAACTATATCATTCTATTCATCTAAATGTTGTTATTTAGCACAAAACTTATAATTCAGGATTCTTTGGCGAGCTACAGGTTGGAGACTCCTGCCATGGAAATACAGTTTATGGCTTTTACCAATGCATTTATAACATATTGTGCTGCCAGGAGTTCAAATCACACAACACACTTATATATCTGTGTAATTTCTATGTTCTGTTAAGATTCATGACAAATCCAGTTTTATCTGAAAGATTTATTCAAGATTTACAGATGAATAAACAGTAAGATCTGCTCTGGTGTGAGTTTTCTTTACAAAAATAAAATAAGGCAATGCAACATGCGAGCTGCTTGTGCACTATATGAGTCTGCTGTTTAACTCTACCTCATAGACACACCCCTGCGTGAATCTGTTTAGATCTCTGGGACAACAAAGCATCGATGAACCTGGAAGCTGAAGCTGCAAAAGTGAATGAATGAAGTCTAAACGCTAAAATAACATGTAAAACTGAGAAAAATTAAACAAAATATACAGTAGAAAGTTGAATAGTACAGTGAACAAGGCATTTCTAACAGCTGCTTACAGGTAGTTTACTAAAATGCAGTGGTGTGCAGTTCTTTAGTAGTGTTCATAGGCCTGTCACGAGAATTTTTTAAGCTACAGAAAAATATTTAAATAAACAAGAATATTAAAACTACTTAATGCCTCTGACTGGTGTTGTCACGATACTAAAATGTCTCTATTTTGATATTAAGGAATAGACTCGATACTCAAAACTGATTTGGATGATACAATTATAATAAAAAAAACACTCTGATGTTTAACATTAAATATCAGAGGTGGGACCAAGTCGTTGTTTTGCAAGTCTCAAGTAGGTCTCAAGTCTTTGATCTCAAGTCTGAGTTAAGACCCAAGTCAAAGACAGGCAAGTCCAAGTCAAGTCTCAAGTCACTGGTCCATAAGTCCAAGTCAAGTTCAAGTCGTCCTTTTGAACTTCAAGTCATTTCAAATCTTTAAAGGGGTGTCCAAACTTTTTTCATCAAGGGCCACATATGTAAATACAGATGAAGCAGAGGACTGATCGAGGGCTGTAGACTGATGCTCAGTACAGTGAATAATTTAAATATTTGCATGTTTAACATGTTAAAAAATGTCTTTATTCACGCTAAGACCATGAAAACCACACACTAAATATTAAATATTAGATTTATCAAGGTAGATTTAAAAAAAAATGCAGTACAAAGTTAATTTTTAATTGATGCAAGGTAATTTGGGTGATTCATTTGAAACCTTGAGGGCCAAGAAAAATTTGTCTGAGGGCCGGATTTGGACCACAGGCCATAGTTTGGACATGCCCGCTTTAAACCAAAGTACCAAATTTATCTTACATTTTTGCAGTTTATGTGACTTTTAAACTAAATTGTACTTTAAAAGTCATGGTATTTTTATATATGAGTATTTATACAAGAGTGTAAGAAATGCACATTTTTCCTTGACAAGGTTTTAGTGTGAATCATCACAGTCAGAACAGAAAGAATTCAGATTTAAAAGAAGTAAATAACAGTTATTTTGTTATGAAGGAACTTGTTCTATTTTACTGTATTGTATTGTACATTATTGTATTGTACTGTACATTACTGTAGTATATTTGAGGATACCACACCAAAGTACTTCAGTTACATCTAAAGTAACAAACAAAGAAGTTTAAGGGACATGTTCCAGTTTGTTCCTGTAAAATTAAGCGTCGCATTTATCAACTGAAAAGAGAAAAGCATTTGCTAAAAACATATATTTTTTTAGGAGAAGCATCAAGTCTTCTCAAGTCACAGGCCTCAAGTCCGAGTCAAGTCCCAAGTCACTGACCTTCAAGTCCAGGTTGGGTCCCAAGTCTTAGTCCATTTTATCAAGTCAATCTCAAGTCCTAAAAATAGTGACTCAAGTCTGACACGACTCTCAAGTCCCCACCTCTGTTAAATATTAGTAATTTCTTTTATATTTCCATGTGGTTTGTCGATACTTTCAATCCTGCCTCTACTCTGCTTTATAGTTTTTTTACAAATTCACATTATCAGTACGATTAAATGCATAAACTACAACAAATAAAACAAAACAATGAACCAATAATTAGCCATAGAAGCTACTTATTCAACCCTCTACGGTGTATAGTGTTTTAGAAAAATATTAACAAAAAATTTCCCAGAATTGTGCCCCAAAATTGTGCTCCAGCTATAATTTTTAGAAGTTATAAATCGGTAAATTAATAATCGTGACAGGCCTATTTTCACACTTGGTCCTTTGCACATTCACTTACCAGTTTATTACGACTTTATTACCTCATCTTAGTTTTGTTAATATGAATAAAGCCAATTATGTACAGAGAGTATGTAGAGAAATGGACAGAATCATGCTGACAATCTGTACTTTGTAAACACTGACATTAAAATCAAAACCAGAACATTTTCATGGCATGTTTAGACGAGAGAAAACATTTTATAGTTGTAGAACCTCATGCAAAAACATAGAACTACATAAAAGAAAACAACAAACAGTAAACGATTCAAAAAGAAAAGTAACTGTAGTAGTAGAAAGTAATCTGCTTATACCATGGTTCCCACCGACTGAAAGTGATTCACTTTTAAATCTAACAACTTTTTTACCGTCCACTGTGTAATGTTTGCTTCATATTAAAAGGTTCTGTCACTTTAAAGAACTAGGGGTGCGCAGAAATACTGAAATATCGATGAGTTGTATCGTTTAACGTGATGATACAGTATCGATATCGTGGGCTGCTGTATCGATATATCACCTACAGTATTTTTAGTTTTTAGTTTGATTTTAATAAATTATTTTGTATTTTGTATTGAGTGGAAAGTGCCCTGTACTGAGATATGTATCGAATCGTGGGCTATATATCGAGGTATCGGCAACTTCTGAATGATGCCCAGCCCTATTTCCAACATTCCAACAGTTCCATCTTAATATTAATATCTAGTATCGATATCATGGGCTGCTGTATCGATATATCACCAAGAGTATTTTTAGGTATATTTTACTAAATTATTTTACTACAGAGCTACAGTTTTGTTGCAACGCATTTGACATTTTCACAGATTTTTTCCGAGTAAAATGTTTCATATTCACTTTTGCACAAGAAGTGGTTTAACAAAGAATTAAGCCCTGATGAAGACCAGTTAAGGTCGAAACATGTTGGCTTTGGCCATTCAAATAAAGGCCTTTTAACTATATTTTTCCTCGTGCGATGTGTTAACTTTTTCTATTGTTTTGGAGTGCTTGCGAGTCCGTTGTGTTAGAGTTTTGATCCTTTTTTCCAAGAGCACCCTCTATTTGCTCCTACTGATTGGAACACCTGCAGCAAACAGACACATTTTTGTTCTTTCTGGTTTAACAAAGACTTTTAGTATCACAGCCATGATTTCTCTGGAGGGTGGCTGGGAACTCGCTCCCTTAGAGACAGGGTGAGGAGCTCAGTCGCACGGGAGGAGCTCGGAGTAGAGCCGCTGCTCCTTCACGTCGAGAGGAGCAGCTGAGGTGGCTCGGGCATCTGTTCCGGATGCCTCCTGAGCTTCTCCCTCAGGAGGTGTTCCGGGTGTGTCCCACCGGGAGGAGACCCCAGGGAAGACCCAGGACACGCTGAAGGGACTATGTCTCTGGGCTGGTCTGGGAACGCCTCACGGTCTCCCCCAGAGTAGTTGGAGGATGTGTCTGGGGTGAAGGAAGTCTGGGAGTCCCTGCTTAGACTGCTGCCCCCATGACCCGGCCCCGTATAAGCGGAAGAAAATGGATGGATGGATTTAGCCTTTATTTTTTATTGAACTGCCTTGAATCGAATTGAAACATATCGTATTGAATCATATAGACTTGTAAGCTCACTGTATCGAGATATGTATCGTATCGGCAGCTTCTGAATGATACCCAGCCCTAGCAGTGACACAGAACTTGCCAGAACTACCTGCGCACTTATTTAAAAATATAATGTGCGACAGTTAGCATTAGAACTCTCATTAGTAACCATGGTATAAGCAGTAGTTGTCACATTATTAATTAAAAGCTGCATTGTGTAACTTTTCGGTTCGGGGTCCGTCACCGTCTTGTTTCTGTGCTATTGCTCTGCCTGGAATGTTCCACAGTGTGACATTAAACAGCTCTGACTTACGTTTATTCAATTACAGGTGGTTTTATAGCTCAAAAATACCAAAAAAACACCAGATTCTGACACTGAGCGAGGTCGCATCTCCACAGATCTGACCTGTAACTTGGTTTAGTTTGGTTTCCATGAAGATAGAAAGGTTTAATATCATAATAAAACTGTGAAACATTCCAGACAAAACAATAACGCATCCACAGAGAAAAGTATTTGACGGATATTCCACCAGAAAAGTGACAGAATGCAGCTTTAAGTCTTGGTTCTTGCTTTTTTATGGCAAAATTAATGGGTAAAATTCATCAGACAATACAAATGAATGTTTTTTATGTTATTATGTGTGTAAAAAATGATTTAAATCTGAGGCATTTCTAAATAAAGTCAAGCAGGTGAGTTATTATTATTACGATTTAGTTTACACGAGTAACTGTGCTCTATCCTACCATACTACATAAATTAGACTACCGTTTAGTAGGGCTGTAACAATACTCAAAATATCATAATAATTGTCAAAAGTCTCTCAAATTACATGTTTCTTTTGCTTTAAAGAATCGTTTTGTTGCAGCAGCAGCTAAATAAACGGAGGGAACTACATTGACCATGATCCTTTGCTCAGTAAATGATTATCCTCTGGTTCTAAAAGTAAATTTCTTCATTTTTCCCATTGACTTTCTTCATTTTTTCCCATTGACTTTCCGGAAAAAAATGTAATAAAATAAAAGTTTGAAAGCTCAGGGTTAATCAGTAACGTGGTAACTAATGACCACAAGACCTATAATTGTATTTTGTATTAAGTTCTTACGATATTTTGCAGAATCTTGTGTTTTAAATGTCTTTTTTGGACTTTTTTGGGCCCATATTACGCTATTTTCTGCTCTATTTTATTTTTATAATATTTTTTCCTCATCAAAAACAGACCTGGATTTGTGTTTTTGTTTCATTCACACATGTTTAACTCATAAATTCTACATATTTTGGCTTCAGGGCTTCTTCTCGCAAACAGAAAACACTCTGGTCCACCTTGTGATGTCGTGTGAAGCGCTCCATTGTGTTTTTAAACTCCATACACCTTCACGAGAATCATTTGGATAAACTGAAAACTACATCTTCATTTCAACATTAAAACATAGATCAGAAAACAGCGTAATATGGACCCTTTAAATCTTAATTCTTGTCAAATTCTTTAAATCTTGTCGAATATTTTAAAAGGAAAAACGGACATATTGACATTTTTTTAGCCTCTCAAAAATATCGCGGTAAAATAAAAATAAAATTGCGCGCAGCTGATTTGAATATTGTTACCTCCTTACCATTTCCTGGCGTAACATTCTTGAGCTGTCTCTTGTTGATAGGTCCACGTGGCGTTGCATTTATTCAAGTCAACATCGTCAGTTTCAAAATAAAAGTCTGATTTTTTTTTTCTTCTATGAATTAATCACTATGAGATCGCCCTCTGCTGGCTGCGTGGGGCCCGTCCTTTGGTCTTGTTCCTCGGAGTCTTCGGCCGTGGCCTCGTAGCCCTCGTCCCACTGGGCGGAGTTGAGGCCGGCGGGGGCGGAGACGGAGTGGGGGGTGTGAGTTCGGCCCAGGCCCTCGTACTGGCCCCTGGAGGCGCCGGAGTGCGAGAGCTGATCCGTGATGGCGTCCTGAGAGGCGGAGGAGAGGAGGCCCGAGCGCTCGCCGTCGTTCCCGTCCTCGTCGAAGTAGGATTTCCTCGGGCGCCCCATCACGGTTCTCCCTGTTGATATGAGTCTTTGGGTCAGTTCATGACAAAGAGACGATCATAAAACTGGCTCTTTTATATTTATTTATGACAGAAGCCAATGTGAGAACTCATTTTATTTACAACTAATGATCAAGGCTCAGAACTGATGAAAATGGTTCAAACTGAGAGTGGGAGTGTTTTTTTACACTCTGAAATGATTAACTTCTAAATAAAACATTGCACTGGAACAATTTTAGACCCCCCGAAAAAACGAGATGAAGATGAAGTAAAAAATATGAATAAAACAAAATGAAGTAAAATGAAATGAAATAAAATAAAATGAAATAAGATAAAATGAAATAAAATAAAATGAATTAAAATAAAATGAAATAAAATAAAATGAAATAAGATAAAATGAAATAAGATAAAATAAAATGAATAAAAATGAAATGAAATAAAATAAAATAAATTTAAATAAAATGAAATAAAATAAAATGAAATAAGATCAAATGAAACAAGATAAAATGAAATAAAATAAAATTAATTAAAATAAAATGAAATGAAATGAAATAAAAAATTTATATGTAAAAAAAAACAACAACAGTTTTTAAGATGCCAATTTTTTTTTTTGGTGTCTCCTCTGCTTCTATGGTCAGTCATGTGTTGGTTCAGTTTAAAAATGCATCAAAAATTAGAAAGAAATAAAATGAAATAAAATAAAATAAAATAATGAAAAATTAATTTAAAAAATAATAAATAAAAACTGTTTTTAAGATGCCAATTTTTTTTTTTTTTTGGTGTCTCCTCTGCTTCTATGGTCAGTCATGTGTTGGTTCAGTTTAAAAATACATCAAAATTAGAAAGAAAAAGATGTGATTCTTTTAAAAAATATGACCCTGTTCTAACCACCTGAAGGAATACAGTTAACTCACTACAAAATCAAGATCAGATTAAAAAAATCCTGACTTTCTAAGACCACATAAACGCAGCAGGAATATCAGTAGATGTTTTTAAGTCTCGTTTATCAATTGGCTTTTAATACGGCATGAGAATTGTATGGTGCTCTGACTGTCTTTTATTGATTTTTACTTTCTAATTTTAGTATTATTTTATTGACTTTACATTATGCTATACTTCTGCATTCTGTTTATTGAAGCTGTCCTAACTCTAACTACGATAAAATGTTCTACACAAATAAAGTTGGAGTGGAATAAGTATTAGCTCTGACGACACTTACCAACATTGCGAACCTGTTCAGAAATATCAGCCCTGACGTCAGAGATGTCCCACATGGCCATGAACGAGTCGAAGCAGGAGCCCTCCTCCGCCTCCTGGATGTACGGTTTATACGTGAAGCTGAAGTGATGAGCGATGGCCGCCAGGAACATCTCCACACAGATCACAAAGTCCTACAGGAAAACACAAATATTAAAAGGTCTAATATTACACAAAATTGACTCTTGTGAGCTTTAAAGATGCATTGTGGAACTTTTCTGGTGGAGGAGAAGTTATTGCTTTGTCCTGAATGTTTCACAGTATGGAATTAAACCTTTATATCTTCATGGAGACCAAACCAGACAAAGTTACAGGTCAGATCTGTGGAGAGGCGACACCGCTTACAGTCAGAATGCCTGTTTTTTGAGGTATTTTTGAGTTTTAAAGCACCCGTAACTGAGTAAATGTAAAGTCGAGCAGTTTAATGTCATTCTGTCTCCATAGAAACAAGCAGGTAATGGGAACTAGGGCTGGGCGATATGGATCAAAAAATATATCTCGATATATTTTGCTATATCTCGATATACGATATATATCTCGATATATGTTGAAAAAAAAAAAAAACCCCCTAAAACTAAAAACTGCAAAAACATATCTGCCAAATTCCACAAGGTCCTTTTTTTTTTATTGAAGTGTAAGAGGTCGGCAGTTCATATAGGAACATTTAAGATTACAAAAAACCTAATTACATAAATAATAATTTAACTGTAAAATAAAATAAATAATACATATTTCCTTCTTTTCATTCATAAATAAAACAACTCAACACAAGATCATCTTTGCATTAATTCTGTTATCCAGACCATAATCATGAGCTCATTTAGCAGAAGAAGCTCAGGAGGTTCCTTATTTTAATAGATCCATGTTTCTGTCCAGCAGTGAGGAGCTCTGAGGTTTAATCCCACAATCCACTGCAGATCAAACCCAACGTTTCCAAACACTATTGTACAAGTGACACTGCAGCAGATTATTAATTAAAATATTCTGCATAAATAAATTTTACATTGCTAAACTTTATAATATATAAAGCATAACGACTACGAGCCACATCAGCCCGTTTGAGATAATAATGTGTTTAATGCAGTTTTGCGCACGTGTGTTTACATTTTACAGAAACTAAACTTAAGCGCATGGCTCATTTGCATAAACAGCACTTCTCATGCAGCTCAGCTCGTTTAGCTTCTTTCGGGCTAAAGGACGCGACTCGGTGGAACATGAGGATGTTCTGCTGGTGGTTTTGTCTGTAAATGGTGGAAAAGGTTCGTGGTGTTTGAAGCTTTTCACTGGCACCAACTTTCGGCGTTCAGGGCGACAGTGAGGAGTGAAGGAGACACGAGCGAACAAACTCAGGGAGGCGGGGTGCGGCGGCGAAGAGAGAGAAGGTAAACAAGTGAAGCGGCGAAATCAAAACTGAATATAACCATTATATTGATATATACGATATGTCAGAATTCATATATATCTCGATATATTTAAAATATCGATATATCGCCCACCCCTAATGGGAACCCAACCAAAAAGTTACATAGTGCACCTTTAAGTCATGTTGGAATGCATTTACATCCTCAAAAACAGACCTGGAGTTGTGTTTTGTTTCATTCGCACATGTTTGACTAACATTATTATTAGTCTGTGTACATTCTTAAAGCTCAAAATGCTCAGTTCCACTTTGTGATGTCATATAGTGGTAGTTTTAACATTTAACAGCTGCCTTTTTTTAGATTTTGTTTAGAAGAGATTGGCAATTCCAGGGCTGTAGTTATCCAGATGATTCTAATGAAGGAGTATAGAGGTAAAAGGAGAAATTCAGTTATTATTATTACCGTATTTTCCGGACAATAAGTGGCTCCGGAGTATAAATCGCACCAGCCAAAAAAATGCGCAATGAAGAAGAAAAAAAACATATATAAGTCACACCGGACTATAAGTCAAACTTTTTGGGGAAATGTATTTTGTAAAATCAGACACCAGGAACTGACATTTCATGTTGAAAGGCAAGATATAGTAATAACAATAGAACAGAAAACAACAGACTGAATATGTGTTAATATGTTAATGTACGATATTAACAGTTATTCAGATAACTAAAGCATAAACAACAGAACATAAGTTTACCAAACTCACGATCTCACTCCAAATCACTAAATCCATTGAATTCTTTGTCCTCGGTGTCATTTCTGCGCAACCTCCCAAGATAAACCATAGATCCATGATGTAAAAAGAGCGGCGCTTCCTCTTCTGTGTCGCTGTTGTCAGACTCAGCATCAGCTCCAGTTAGAATTATTCCGGCCTTTCTGAATCCCGACAGGATGGTTTCGGTGTCACTGAAGTCCAGACTTTTTCCATCCATCCAGTGACTTTCAGGAAAGTTTCATGGTGCATCCTCCCGGTTGCCGTGAAGCTGTATTTTCCATCCCCGCTTTCCACCAGTCAATCACAAGTTTCGCGCTCACTCCAAACCTTCTTTCTGCTGCTCGATTACCGTTTCAGCTGAATATTTCACTATTTGCAGCAGGACAGCGGCTTTTTCTACAGGAGACATGCACAGTAGAGCCAAGTGACACTGGTACAGGAGTAATAGTAGTACTAGATACTGACACACAAACCTAGGGCCTCTCACGGCTGTCAGTCTGAAACATTTTATAGTCAAGTATAAGTCGCAGGAAACACCCAAACCATGAAAAAAAAAGTGCGACTTATAGTCCAAAAAATATGGTATTGAATTTCTCCTTTGCCGTAGATTCTACCTGGGTGATTGAGGAATTTTTCCCACAACCAAAAGAGTATGGACTTTAAAAACACAGTGAAGCACTTCCTGTATTACCACATGACATCACAAGGTGGAACAGCTTGACAGAAGTAGCAGCTATACTCCTCACTGCTGTTTTACATTTCTTGACTAGTTACTAATGCAAAAAAAAAAAACATGTGTGAATGAAACAAAACACAACTCCAGGTTTGTTTTTGAAGAGGAAACAACATTATAACAAAAAAAACAACAACTTTAAAATGTATAATATCCTACCTGTAAACCAGTGGCCACATCTTCCACGCTCTTCCAGTCCCAGGTGTCTTTTTCTGAGATGACTCCCACTTTAACCAGTAACGCAATGAACACAGCCTGCCTGAAAAAGACACACAAGAACAGGAATTATCTCACTGCACCACACAACCACTATTAGCACTTGTTTTTCCATTTTTTTCAAGTTTTTTGGCACCTTTGAACTCCTTAAATGTGCCTTGTGTAACCTTTTGGTTGGAGGTCCGTCACAAAGGGGCTTGTGTCTATGGATATGTAACAGCTCTACCTTATGTTTATTCAATTATAGGTGGTTTTATAGCTCAAAAATACCGAGAAAAACTACATTCTGACTGTGAGTGGGGAGTGGGGTTGTCTCTCCCCAGATCTGATCTGTGACTTGGTGTGGTTTGGACTCCATGAAGACAGAAACGTTTTGTGTGGGACACCTCAAAAATTATGTTCGTCCCACAGTCGCCAACCTCGGCGTCACCTTAGACCGTGATTTTAAGTTTGACAAGCAGATCAGCTGTGTTTTAAAATCGAGTTTTTACCATTGCGGATTTTATCTAAAGTTAAACCTTTTTTATCTTTTAAACCTTTTGAACAAGTCATGCACGCTTTTATGTCATCACGCCTGGACGACTGTAATGCAGTTTATTCCGGCATCTCACAAAACGCACTTTACCGAAGACATTGAGTCCAAAAACAAAAATGAGAGAGCACATCACACCGATCCTTGCGTCTTTGCGCTGGCTTCCTGTTAATTTTAGAATTGATTTGAAGATTTTATTGTTTGTTTTTAAAGCTTTGAATGGATTTGCCCCACGTTACGTCTCGGACCTCCTCCAAATTTGCACCCCCGCACTCGCTCTGAGGTCCGAGGTCCAGCTCCAGCTCGTGGGGCCTAAAACGAGACTTAAAACCAGGAGGATGGGACCTTCTCTGTGACCGAAACCAAACTCTGGAACACTCTGCCCCTCCCCCCACGTCCCAACAGCGCCCACAGTGGAGAGTTTTCAGTCTCGTCTTAAAACCCACTTTTATTCTCTGGCTTTTAACACCGCGTGATTTGTGTGCTCCTCTGTGTTTTTTATTTATTTTTTATGTATTTTTATTGGTTTTATTTATTTATTGCCACTGTATGATTTTGCTCTAATTTTATTTGACTGGTTTTATTATTTTAAGACTAGTATGATTATTTTAGTAGTTTATTTGATCATTTTATTATTGTTGTTATTATTATGTACTTGTGCAGCACGTTTGGAAACTGTTTGTGAAATGTGCTATAGAAATAAAGTGGATTGGATTGCAGTTTAGATAAAGACAAAGCAATAACATCTGACAGTGCACCTTTAAAGAGGGGGTATTTTACTTCTATGGGGTATTCACTGCTAACACATAACATATCTAGTAGGGGCGTAACGATATCCAAGTCTCACGATACGATATCTTCACGCTTTAAACCTCACGGTACGATATTTATTGCGATATCGCGGGAAAGCTCACGATACGGTGGGGAGGCTCACGATTAAAGATGTTACAATATCCAAATCTCTCTGTACGATATTTTCACGATTCACCTCTCACAGTACGATATTTATTGAGATATTTTGTGGAGTCAAACAAAACTATTAATATGCTTTTCCTCTTAAAATGCCTTGACAAGACTTAATCCAAAGAACTAAGACTTAAAAGTGTTTAGAACTGTTATTTCTTCTTGGAGTCTGCACTGAAATGGAGCAAAGGATCATGGTCTATGTAGTTCCCTGTGTCTTTTTTTTAGCTATTGCTGCACCATAACTCTTAATTTAAGCAAAGAGACTTGTGATTCGATATATTGTGATGGTCCACGATGTTATTGTGAGAACTTTGACGATACGATATCACGATGTTCCAGTTATTGTCACATCCCTACATATTTAGATCATCGTGTTACCTTTTGTTGTTTTGAAAAGGCTATATTTGCTGAAAACAACATAGTTTCACTTTCGTTTTCAGTTTTGTTTACAGTTTCTGGCCCCAAAAGGCTGACCTCACACCATTTGTCTTACTGACTATCTCCACTGGGATTAAGGGCCTGAATGTCAAAATACAGAATGACTCAGACACATTTCACACTTACTGTAGGTCAACAGACTGAGCCAACAAACAGAAACTGTAAACAAGTTGGTGTGTTAGTTTCAGCGTAGTTAGCTCCACCCATACGTTCTATTTCCAGTTATTAATTATGAAAAGTTACATATTTTTTTCACTCATTTCAAAATGTAAAATCCGTATTTTATATAGATTCATTACACATAGAGTGAAGCTTTAAAGGTGCATTGTGTAACTTCTCTGGAGGAGGGTCTGTCAAATGCTTTGTCTTTATCTAAACTTTTCAGTCTTCATGGAGACCAATCTAGACCAAGTTACAGGTCAGATCTGTGGAGAGGCGACCCCGCTCACAGTCAGAATTAAGTTTTTCTAGGTATTTTTGAGCAATAAACCCACCTGTAATAGACGCATCAAGAATCTCGGACTTCCGGTCATTGCGCGATGCATACTAGGAAGGATTTTCCGAAAAAGTGAGCATCAAACCGCCATGTTTTTTTTTCCCAGTGCGATGCATCTATTGGCAAAGTCGATCTTTTCAAGTCTTTTGAACCATATCACTTTTGTTTCTGGTTCTGATATTGCCATATTTTAGTTTTGTGATTCAGATATCGTTAATTGTGTGGTTGTTGGATCCTAACAGTGGAAAACGGCTCAAGAAATTTGTTTGCGAACTCCATAAATGCAAAAAGGAATCAGATGTGTGTGACTGCAAACCTCTGTTCAAACTGTTTCCCTTCCCAACAGAATTGAAATATAGTGCCAGGCGAAGGCGATGGGCAGGACTGATCCACAGCCTAAATCATCCCGAGTTTGCAGTGAACATTTTGTATGTGGAGCGCCATCAAAGCGGGATCCCGTTTGTTAATCGAGAGGTACAGAAGACAAACAGGCTGAGCTCGCACTTTCTTGTTCTTGTAGTTTTACAGCAACATCACGTCTTGGTCTCTTTGCAGTGGAAAGTGTTTCTTGGCAAACAGCTGGTGTCTTTCACTTTGGCGTTGACTTTTTAAATTCGTAACCGAGGTTGAGTGAGGAATCGGGATCCTGCTTTGATGGCGCTCCACATACAAAATGTTTGCTACAAACTCTGGATGATTTAGGCAGTCAAAAGTTTCCTTTTTGGTCCTTCCCGTGGATCAATCCTGCCCATCGCCTTCGCCTTTCACTATTTTTCAATTCCGTTGGGAAGGGAAACAGTTTGAACGGAGGTTTGCATCACACACATCTGATTCCCTTTTGCATTTATGGAGTTCGCAAACAAATTTCTCGAGCCCTTTTCCGCTGTTAGGATCCAACAACCACACAATTACGATGTCCGAATCCCAAAACTAAAATATGACAATATCAGAACCAGAAACAAAAGTGATATGGTTCAAAAGACTTGAAAAGATCGACTTTGTCAATAGACGCATCCCACTGGGAAAACAAACATGGCGGTTTGATGCTCACTTTTTCGGACAATCCTTCCCAGTATGAATTGCGCAATGACCGGAAGTCCGAGATTCTTGATGTGTCTATTGAATAAATGTAAAGTAGAGCTGTTTAATTTCATACTGTGGAACATTCCAAGCAGAGCAATGACATATCCATAGAAACAAGCAGGTGACAGACCCTCCACCAGAAAGGTTACACAATGCACCTTTAATGAATCTCTATAATATATACAGATTAGACTTTCTGAAATGAGTGACAAAAATATAAAACTTTTTCATTATATTCTAATAAATGGAAATAGACAGATACGAGGCAGTGTTCACCAGCAATCTGAAGAAGCTTTAAAACTTTTGAAAGAATTTAATTTTCTTTTACACAGAGATATTCCAGTTTCTGTTTATTGTTGCTATAGTTTTGTTTTAATGTTATTAAAAAATGTCCAGTTACCAGAAAGAGACAAAAACGACCATCTTGACACAGAGGAACTTTCCGACCGGTCTGATCGGACTCAGCTCGTCTCTCAGCGCTCTGTAGAACAGCACCAGGCAGTACATGGCAAACTGCAAAAGGACAAATAATACACCATTTTATTTTTAGATAAATTATAGTTTGTCCAGTTTGAATTACAAAGTTCTATCTGCGTTTTGGCCACTCACAGAGCACACTAGAAAAATAACAGTTTTATGCTCATATAAAACTAAAAATATTACCAAACATTATAAAATTCTGCTGAAATCCTACAAAAGGTACTTTGACAGAAACTGCAGACAGAACTTTATAATTCTAAAGGAGTGAATTGTGGATTTTATAGTTTTGTCAGTATCCACATGATGCTTTTAGTACCAGTTAGGGCTGTCAAAATCTGATCCTGAATTTCATATTGAAACTAGGTGCTTGTTGGAAAAGGTATTTATGTTAAAAAGAAAGAAGTCAAACTCACAGGACAGAAATGTATCTTTCCTGAATAGTTGTACAATGATCTTGAGGTGTATCAGAACAAGTATAAAAGCACATCGACTAGTCTACGCTGGTGATGAGCCAAATAAGTCGATGTGTCAACACGTGCCGAACTCAGCAAGTGACACCAGTGTCGAGCTGTGTCACTGTGTGTATCACTTAAAGAAGCGTCACGTGACCAATACATCTACTGCAGGGGTGTCCAAACTTTTTTCATCAAGGGCCACATCTCTAAACACAGATGAAGCATAGACTGGTGCTCAGTGCAGTGAATAATTGAAATATGTGCATGTTTAGCACATTAGAATGAGCCATCAGACTTTATTCATGCTAAGATCCTTAAAACCACACACTAAATATTAAATATCAGCTTTATCAAGGTAAATTCTCAAAAAAAACTTGCAATAAAAAGTTATTTTAATTTTTTCATTGATGCAAGGTCATTTGGGCCAATTCTCCTGGAATCCTGAGGGCCAAGAAAAATTTGTCTGAGGGCCGCATTTGGCACATGGGCCATAGTTTGGACATGCCTGTTCAGCTGTATCTTTGGTGTGGCTCGTGTCGGGAGCACTAAAGCTGCTTGTGTAGAGTGAAGCGCATGAGGCTCAAATCTGTTGCAGTGTCTCTGTTCATCACCACAGAAACACAGAGAAACAGAAGACAGATCTGTTCTGTGTGAGCTCATTTTGATCAGTCCCAAGTTCTACAGATTTACTGAAATATCTATAGTATTTGACTATTTACTTTACTTTACTTACTTTTTACTTTACTACTAGACTTAGACAAACTTTATTGATCCACGAGGGAAATGATTTGCCTTTCATTAACTATCTTTTTCTCTTGTTTATCATTGTTTGTCTTCTCGTGTAAAGCGTCTTTGGATATCTTGAAAAGCGCTATACAAGTGTTATGTATTATTATTATTATTATTATTATTATTATTCGGATGCATTTACTATCATTTTTACAACCCTTGACCTCATCATGTATCATGTATTTGTTTACTTTATTATACAAGTAAAAAGGCTGTGATTTGCTTCAGTGACACGAGATTGTATCACCTTCTTGGGCAGTTCTTTCATTTGTCGGATATCAGAGCATCTATGACAAATGATTGTTTACATAACTGAATGAACGAGCCCTGCGCTTGTGTTCGTACTTCTGCCTAGGAAGCAGTTCATTTTTTAAACCACCAGATGGCGCTGTAGAACACACCAACACAGTCTTAACACAGTGTTGGAAATGTGGTTCACACACTTTGAGGCCTCATCTACACCGTTGAGGAATTACACATGGGAATATAAAAGAAAGTACTATAATTTACTGCTGAAAATCACATTCTATTACCATTATTATTATTATCGTGGTATCAGAGTATCTGTATTGAGTATCGAGTCTATTCCTTAGCATCGAAATGGCGTTTGAAATTTTAGTATCGTGACAAATCTATTACCAGTTGTGACATGTTGTTGAAGATCACGAGGTACGTCCAGGCGTTTTTGGAGCTGAAGTTGCCTTCGTCGTACACGCCGCAGAGTTGACAGATCCTGCAGAAGAGAAGAGAACCCCGCGTGTGTAAGATTTGCATGTAATTTGCAGAATGTGAAAACAAGCAGATCTGGTTTACTCACAGCGCAATGACAGTGGTGACTGGTCTGACAACCGTGTACTGCAGCACTCCCAGCTTACACCGCAACAGCAGGACCCTGGAGAGGAAAGATAAACATGCACTGTGTCACTTTTCTGGTAAAGTGTCCGGTATGTGCTCGTCTCCATGGAGATTTCATTGCTTTGCCAAGAATGTTACACAGTATAAATAAGCTCTTCATGGATATAAATTATAGACTGTATATACACACTACCGCTCAAAAGTTTTAGAACACCACATTTTTTCCAGTTTTTTACCGTTTACTGTTGACCAAAACATATTCTAAACTTTTCATTCATGAAAGTGTCCACCTTTGGCAGATGTAACAGCTGAACACACTCGTGGCTCGTTCTTTTTACAATAAAAATCTAAATATTGTTCAGAAAGTTCTTCCCAAATCTGTTGCAGACGTTTCCATAAATGTGTGGCACTTGTAGGTTTCTTAACTTTCACTCTTCTGTCCAGTTCATCCCAAATCAGCTCGATGGGGTTTAAGTCTGGACACTGTGCTGCTGGACACTCCAGATTTTCAAGTTTTACCATCTTGTTATTTTTGCCTGAGGTAGTTTTGGCAGAGCTTGGACTTGTGTTTTGCATCTTTTATCTTTTGACATAGCTAACCCATATCCAAATCAAAAGTAAGCGTGGTTTCGATTCTGGCTCTTTCGTCTTTGGCTCCAAATCACTTTGTATAGAAAAAACGTTGCTCCTCTCTCCGTAACTGCTGTTGTCGAGGTCCATTTTGGTCTTAAAATGTTCGTATTAACCCGCTCTACTTGATCCTGTTTTTGTAGTGTTTTTATTTCACTATTTTGTCCTTAAATCAATTCCTAAACCCAACTCCAAAATCGCCCCATAACTGCGGCTTCAATGAGCTTCGTTTGACTGGATCCAAATGCTTTATTGTGATTTTAATTTATTTCTTATTCTGTAAAGCACTTATTATTTTGTGTACAAATTGTGTTGTAGAAATGAACTTGTTCACAGTACAAAAACTAAACTTTCTTGAATAGTTTTATAATGATCTTGAGGTGTACCAGAACAAGTATTAGAGCACATAGACTAATTAGTATACGCCCATGGACCACTACGGAACCTTCCTAGACCACTGAGAGATTACACAGATATAAGACCACATGGGAAGAGAAAAGAAAGTTCTATGATTTAAAGATGCATTGTGTAAATTTTCTGGCGGAGGGTCTGTCATCTGATTTTTTTTCCGTGGAGATGTTATTGCTCTGTCTATGGGTGACGTTGCAGTTCCGTAGTTCATAAACTTACAAATAAGTTTAATGTCATACTGTGTAACATTCTTGGCAAAGGTGACAAGTTTAACAGGTCATATCTGTGGAGAGGTGACCCAGCTCGCAGTAAGAATGTGTGTTATTTATACAGCCATTTAAACAGCTCCAGTTAAACAAAGATAAGACTGGTAAGTGTAAGACCACTCAGTGACGCAGGCAAAGCAATGGATTAGTTAATTGTGATGTCATTTCTGGGTCCAAGACAGGCAAAATTGTGACTAAAAATAAAAATAAAAAACAGCTAGAACAGTTGTGAAGTTGCCAGTTGGACTCTATAGCATGTCCAAGGACACAAGACCAGGAAATCAGTGAATAAGTCGTGTCTAATCGTCAATGATATGGTTGGAAGTTTTTGAATCGAAATGTCCACAGCCAATCCTCTGTCAGTAAAATAAGTGGTTTGAAGCAGAGTTCAGACTATGAAGGGGTAAAAAAGTAATTTATTAAAAGTCTGCGTTGTTTAAATTCATGAAATCAACACTAAGAGCCTTTTTAATTTAGTTTTTGAAAAGGTTAAACAAATAAAAATAAGAAATTGAGATCGATCAGTGTGAGGAAACGCAATCTTGAATAATTTTTTTTTCAGCCCTGGTTGTACATACACAGTACTTGAAGTTAAAACAATGGTTTGATTCAATTGTATAAATCATTTACCATGTTTTAATCCGTGTATGTCTTCAGTGGCCACTTATCCTGATGAAATACACAGGCCCGGTTTTGTTGGGTAAAAGGTTTCTTACTAAAAATTTGATCTTCTGACTCTGGCTAATTTAAAACTGATGACAGCAACTGAACTGGAGCAAAGTCACAAGATGAAGAACAATAAACATTAGTCATGTGTCCTTGTGTGTACAGAGGTTTTACACTTCACACACTTCCACAAGGTCAGTGATTGTGTATGAATACATTAAAGCGACCATTCTCAAAGTAAGGAGCATTTACAGCTGGGAAAAGGCCTCAACACTATTAAAAAGATTGTCTGTTATGTTTTCATACTGGTTTCAATCCTTTATTTTCAACAAAAATGTAACAGTGGCAAATCTGTTGCAGTGTTTCGGTTCATTGCCACTGAAGCGCCTGTTCTGTGTGGGCTCATTTTCTACAGATTTACTGAAATAACTAGATTATTTTAGTATTATGTTATCATTTTAAAAAACATTCACCTCGAAATGTATCACGTATTTATCTACTTTATTGTACAATGGGCTGTGATTGGCTTCAATGACATTAGATTGCATTACTTTCTTGGTCAGTTCTTTCATTCGTTAGATATCAAAGCATCTATGATAAATGAGTGTTCACTAGAGATGTAACAATAACTGAAATATCGTGATATCGTACTGTCAAAAGTCTCACAATAATATCGTGGGCTGTCACAATATATCGAATTACAAGTTTCTTTGCTTAAATGAATGGTTTTATAGTAGCAACAGCTTATAAACATCGGGAACTACATATCCCATGATTCATTTCAGTGCAAACATGACAAGATATGTTTTTTACTTGACTTCTTGAAATTATGATGGAAATAATTCACACCAAAATCTTGTCAAGGTATTTTAAAAGTAGAAAAGTGTCCCATCTACAATTATATTACCCTCTAAAAAATATCTCAATAAATATCGTAACGTGAGATGCATATTGTGATAATATCGTACTGAAGACCCTAGACCCAAGTTTTTAACTTAGCTTTGTGTATATGTATGGGGGGGTGTGTGGCTGGAAATGTGAAATTGTTTTGAATCTCTCTAAAGCGCTTTTTGTGGCATTTTTGTATGAAAAGCGCTCTATAAATACAGTTTGATTGATAGATTTGGATATGGTTACACCCCTAGTGTTCACGTGTCTGAACGAACGAGCCCTGCGCCGTGTCAATGCTTCTGCGTAAGAGGCAGTTCATTTTTCAAACCACCAGATGGCGCTATAGAACACACCAACACAGTGTCAACACAGTGTCAAAAAGGTAAGTGTGACAAACTTAAAAACTGTTGGTTAATTTGAGATTCTACAGGCTTTTTTGCTTCATATGTGGCAGCAAATGTGGCAGGAGAACTTCCAGAGAAAACACTTTGAGCGGATGGACCATTTCGTCAACAATCGCAACACCAGAGCGGAGTAAGAACGAGACCTTTCCTGTTGTGTTCACCTGGTGCACACAGAGCAGGGACACTTTTGGCTCTTCCGTCTCCTCAAACTGCCTTGACACAGGATCTGCTGACCCTCCCTGACCAGTCTTCTCCTGTTAAACTGCACTGAGACTTTTGACTGAGACACAAAAGCCACGCAACGGCAGCAGTCTGCTGCAGCAAAACTTGAATGGTGTTATGATGTGAATGGCGACGCGTGCAGACGTAGTGGCCTCTCAATTCTTCCAGTCGTTGTTTATGCATGTGATATAGAGACATGTGATTTTGATTCCTTTGTATGTCTAGTGCATGTGAATGAACTGACAATAAAGCTACCTTTGTACTTTGAACTTTAATGCTAGGTGGCTTGTGATTAATTTTATGTGAGAGAGACTTGATTAACTGCACAAATCATGTCATCTGTTGTAATTATGTGAGCTCTTTTTGGTCAGATCGAGTTAAAACAAAGCTCAAATTAAAGTCTAATAGAGTTTCAAACAGCATCACACTCCCAGGGTACGTTGATGACACCACCAGCAAAGTATCAATATAATCTACTATAGGAAAAAATACTGAGAAATCTGAAGTCACTCACTCTCCCATGGGCCAGGGCGGACAGCAGCAGAGGGGGGGCAGGTGCTTCTGCTGTTCCTGGACCTCCAGCATCATCACCAGGCTCGGGTACTGGTTCTCCAGGTAGTTCAGCAGGAACGTCATGAAGTTATAGATGACATAGGCCTCGTAGCACTCCCGGCAGGTGTCCACGTAAATGGCTATACTCGGATACTTCAACGCAATCCACTGGAAAACAAAAAGTTACATTATTATTGTCAGGAAATATTATTATTATAAGCTTTGCCTGTTGTGTTTAATGTTACTTACGCTGTCCAGGCTATAGATTGGGACCATCCATAATATTCTGAGGAAGAGGAAATGAAAATAAATAATTAAATAAATAAAATAAGTTATAAGAAATTCTGGCAATCTGTGTGAATCAATGTTTCCCATTAAAAAAGGAGACTATAGTGGTAATTTTTTAGTCAGACTGGCGCCACCTAGTGCCTCCACTCAATTTCATTTCTCTCCAGCAATTACGTCAGGAATCAAAATACAAAGGACGATTTGCAAAAACCCCGGAAGTGCGAGTTTGGGCACCAGTCAATTGGCCAAGGGTGATATATTCAGTGTTGTCAACGATTCCCAAGATTGAGGATTTAAAGCTGGAACAACGAGAATGTTTGGTGAATTTCATCAAGGGGAAAGATGTTATTGCCCTTTTTCCTACGGGATTTGGGAAACGAAATCTAAGGCTGCGAGGTCAGACGGTTTATACAAAGTGAAACGAAGTAAAACCGGCTGATGAATCAGGCTAGTGATTTTTGCCCCCATTGTTTTAATCAAATTGAGCAATAATTTGTACTAAATATAACCTATTTTGCTTGTTATATTATCATAACTACATACAAGTATCTTTATTGAATCTTTACTCAGTCTGTTACTGATTAACAGAGGTAATAAAGTGACGTATCTCTTTCCAAATAAAGATTACCACCATAGTCTTATGATATATGATGTCATTGGTTACCTGATGATGGGTTTCTGAAGTTCAGGCTGGGTGTAGTGCACTAAATGCTGCAGAATGCCCCATAGTGATATAGGTATGGTCATGAAGACAAAGATCCCAGCGATGAACCAGGCTTTATTGTGAGTCCCAACCTGAGCAACGCAAAAGAGAAACAGCCTGAGTAAACAGATTGTACAATGTGTAATTAACATCTGTGTAAGGCAACTGTCTGTTCTAACGTGTCCTGTTCTGTATCAGAAGCGAGTAGTATCCGGTTATATTTATAACTTGTGACAACAGGCTGGACTGGAGGGACAACTGTAACGCTGTGCACAAGAAGAGCATGAGTAGACTCGACTTCCTCAGAAAGCTCAAGTCTTTCAATGCGTGCAGCAAGTTAGTGGAGAAATTGTATTTTGTATGCATAATATGTAATTTATTTTGCTATATGTAAATATTTGTAAAGTTCCATGATCAATGTACAGAAGCAACCACATCATTTTTGAAACTATGTCATGAACAGTGTTGGGTTCATATAAGTTTTTCTTCTTCCAACTCCTTTTCGAAAAATGTGCTTTTCTGTTGTTTACAATGTGTATGTAGTATATATGATTATTGTTTCTTTCTTGGCACAAACTCGAAATAAAAACGAATCAATCAATCAATCAATCTTCTACCAGTCTGTGTCGGCACCAGTAAAAGGGACATTGGGTCAGTATCTCAACTCCTGGTCTTGTTGCTTTGGGCCTCCACTTTAACCACGTTGTCAAAAATTTGGGGGTGAAACTGGATAGCAGTCTAAAATTTGATAAACAAATTGATTCTGTGGTCAGAGCAAGCTTCTTTCAGCTCCGCCTCCTGGCAAAAGTTAAACCCTTCTTGAACCGTGGTGACCTGGAGAAAGTTAACCATGCCTTTATTAGTTCCCGCGTAGACTACTGTAATGCACTCTATGTGGGGATTAATCAAGCTGGTCTTCACCGTTTGCGGAAACATGACCACATCACCCCTGTCCTGTACTCCTTGCACTGTCTCCCTGTCCAGTTCAGAATTCATTTTAAAATTTTGATGTTTGATTTTAATGCAGTCAATGGTCTTGCACCTTCCTACTTGTGTGAGATTTTGACCCCTCACCAACCCAGCAGAGCTCTACAATCTGCTGGGCAACATCTACTGGTGGTTCCCCCGGTCCTGGTGCAAACAGTGGGGTGATCGTTCTTTTGCAGTGGCCGCCCGGTCCAAAACTCTGGAACTCTTTGCCCATTGAGTTACGGTCCATCCCTGACCTGCCTTTGTTCAAAGCCAAACTTAAAACCTACTTATTTAGAACGGCTTTTAACACTTAGTGGCCCTGTGTTCTTTATTTTAATGGTGTAATGTGCTTTGTTGACCTATTTGTATGATGTTTATTGATTTTTTTTATCTTGCTTTAATGTTGTACAGCACTTTGGTCGGCTTTGGTTGTTGGAAGGTGCTACAGAAATAAAGTTTGATTGATTGATTGGGTGGATTGACAAACTGGCCCGTAAAGCTGGTCACATGATCGGCACACACGAGGACGCTGGACAAACTGCTCCCCATCATGGACTCTCCTGCTCACCCACTGCACCAGACTATAGAGGGACAGATAATACTCCCTACAACTGTACAACAACTCACCCACTGCACCAGGCTATACACAGACAGATAATACTCCCTACAACTGTACAACAACTCGCCCACTGCACCAGGCTATACACGGACAAATAATACTCCCTACAACTGCACAACAACACACCCACTGCACCAAACTATAGAAGTAAAATTTGAGTTGTGGTTCCCCTTCTCACTGTGAGTATGTCAAAAAGCTTTCAGTTGTATTAATTATTTAAACATTTGTGTTTCTTGCACTGCTCCATCAGATAAATATATTTATTTTTTCCTTCATTAGTAGTGGTCTGTTTTTTGAAAATGTGAGCATTATTATTCCTCACTCATACTTGAGGCTGGACATATGGACAAATACATTTTACCAGCACATTTCTATCCTCAGAGATACTATAATGTGCAAGTTGAGGCATAAACAACTGTGAGATTAGAAACTACATGGAGCCCACTTTAGACTCCACGCTCCTTTCAGTATAATGAGTATGGACGCCAGCCTACACAACTTTGTATCCACACTGTTACGGCCCCAGGCCTTAGTTCTAATATTTCTGCAGAGTTCTCTTGATTCCTGCTGCACGAGCCCTGGTCCTTGATTGGTGGGGCAGGTCGACGCCCACCTCACCTGCAGCCCCCGCCCCCTATTTAAGGAGATTGCCAGCACCTGTTCGGGGCTGCTGGCGTTGGTGGCCAGTCTGCCATTTTGTTTCTGTGTATGTAGTTTAGTCTCGTTCTGTTTTGTGCCTTTTTTGATTTGGTCACTTGATTCTGTTTGTGGGTTTATGTGGTTTAATTTGGGGAACTTGTGTTTTAGTTTAGTGTGTGTCCCTAAGTTTTACCACTCGTTTTTTTGTGTAAGCCTGCGTGACCCCTTTTGTGGCACAAAACTGTTTATTCTGTTCTGTTTCTTAGTTTAGGTTGCTTTCTGTATATTTTTAGTCTTTTGTTAATTTACCTTTACATTCCTGTTAATTAAACATTATTTAATTTATTCCATTTTACATCTTGGTCTTATTTTTGTTACTTCCCTCACCCCAAACGAGCTGGGTCGTAACAACACCATGTTAAATAACGTGTAATTAGTCAATACTAGGGTGACTCAGTTTGTGGTGGTTGGTAATAATTAAATTGTGAAACCAGTGGATAATTAAGGAAAACTGTTGGTTGTGAAACCCATTCACACCCAACATGTGAGTCAGGATAGTCACATTTTCTTGATGTTCTGGTCATTTTTAAGCAGCTTTTCTGTATTTTACCTCAACAAATGTCAACATATGCAGAAAGAACAAAAATGTGGCTGTTTGCTGCAGGTGTTCCAATCAGTAGGAGTAGGTAGAGGGTGCTCTTGGAAAAAGGATCAAAACTTAAACACAACGGATTCCAGGCACTCCAAAAAAGTAGAAAAAGTTAAAAAAAATCACATGAGGAAAAATATAGTTAAAAGGCCTTTATCTGAATGGCCAAAGCCAACATGTTTCAACCTTAACTGGTCTTCATCAGGGCTTTATTGCCCTGAATTGCTTAATTTTTTACTTTTTCTACTTTTTTGGAGTACCTGGAATCAGTTGTGTTTAAATGTCAATGTATGCTTCTCTTTACTGTCAGCACGTATAAAATTGGTCCAAAATAGGGACATTTCTTGTATAAAACTGTGACAAATCAGTGGTTTTGTATAAATCTGCTGGGACAGGGGACACAGGGCTCAAAACTGGGACTGTCCCGAGTAAAAAAAGGAGACGTCTGGTCACCTTATTCAATACGGCACAAGTGAATAAATTAAGATAACATCAGTTCAAATAGAAAGCATAAAAACAAGAATCATTCCAATACAAGCGCCAGTACAAACCTCTGATTTCTGCAGCTCCCAGATGCACAGGGGCAGGACCACCAGTAAGAGTAAAATGTACAAGAAGACCACCAGCGGACGGATCCATCTCCTCCAGTTCCCGCAGGAGCACGGCATTTTGTCATGTACACACTGAAGGCCTTTCACAGACACGAAGGGCCGAGTCACTAAATGATTTAACTCGTCTCACAAGATCTAAGGCTGAAGCTCGGGACATTTAGCTCGCCATTCTTTCGCCTTTTCACCTACAGCAAGAGCCAAACTATGAAACAATGAGCCGGCTTTTCGGTTTACATAGTATTTCAGTCAAGTCGATGCAATTACGTGGTCATTTTACGGTCTTGTCACAGGTTTTTCACCGATCGGGTCAGGTGGCTAACATTAGCTTATCAGCTGTTTCATCGTGTAAACAAACAAAGCACATGACCCACGCTTTAGTCTCCGCGCATTTTAAACGACAATCGCGGCACTATTTACGTATCTGCTTATAAAACGGAAATCGGTACTAAAAGGTCTGACTGCAAAGGATCGTTTCTAATCTTGTTTATGCTCCAAAAAGTTTCCAGAGATGTTTTGGTGTTGCTGTTTGCGATACTTCCTGCTTTCGAACGCACTTCCGGCCTTTCCCATAATCTGATTGGTTGCCTTAAAACTATCGACCAATCAGAAGAAAGAAACCGGCTGCGAATCTCGTGACTTGTTGTTATTGTTATTTTAAATTTAAATAATTTTATTTTGATTTACATTTTATATTTTAATTATTTTATTTTGATTTTATTTTATATTTTATTCATTTATTTTATTTTTTATTACTTCATAATATATTTTATTGTAGTTTTGAGTTTTTGCTTAGCGCAGTTCACTATTTTCACCAGCAGATGGCACTGTGAATTAACCATTGACTGCACCAATGTTCGCGATCTTTTCGCATGTATTTTTTCATGTAACGTTATTTATCAGTTTGGTTGACAAGAGAGTAATATTTGTCAAATGTGTTTTTATTTTGCAGTGTAAATACACAAGACATTTGAATAAAACTGAACAGAATTACCCTGTTATTTATATTAATTTTATCAGTAGTGAAACTAAATGGAATGGTTCTTGTTATGCTGTTTATTTGATCTAACGTTATCTCGGTCTGTTCACTTGTGCTGGATTGAGTGCAATAACCTTGGATACTAAATTTAGGCATGCATTTGGTTGAAATCATTATCCGTAATCATCATAACAAGAAGTGCATGAAGTTTAAAGAGGCCTCTAATCTCATAGTTGTTCATAAGCTCGAAATAAATGATTGATGCTGCACTTGACTGCTGCACTTTTGCACTTACGGCAACAAACTGTATTGTTCTGTGCTAAAATATGTACCTGTATATTGTTATAAAATGCAGACATAATGGAAATTTGACACTAAAGGTAGACAGTTAATTGAAATATATATATATAAAAATACATGTCACGAATGCTGTTGAAGATATGAACAATTGGGATATCAAATATTTAGTTTGTAATAAAAAAAAATGCTGCAAAAACTAAAATAAGACAGGATATGATGAGGATATAAATTAAAGATAAATGATATGCACTTTTGTGGATAATTTTCACATTTGTCTGATACTTAACTCTCAAATATTACATTTAAAGATAAATTTCTAACATATTTTGTTTCAACTGACATAATATTATCTGAAAATCAGGATACTCAAAAAAAATTATTGAGATAGCCTTGTATTTTTTCACACCTAATAGTTTAAATGCTCTTTTTTTTTCTTGTTGTTGCCTCTTTTTTTTAATTAATAGTCTCTGTGATATAACGATCTTCATCAAATAAAGAGATTCAGTAATGAAGACAAATATAAACATTTAACAAAAATATAATTTAACAAAAATGACAACCAAAGAATAAGCCATACTGTCCAAAAAGGAGACAAAATATAACTGTTTATGCTCGATTAAAATTTTAAAAAATTTACATGCTTTTTAAATTCAATATTTCATGGTTTTAAATTTAATATTTTATCCCTCTATATTATAATTTTAGTTATATCATAATTGAAACACAAATTTGACTTTAAAAGATGACACTGTTTCGTGCATTTGTTTTGTTTTGTCTCTTTTTTTCTTCAACATTACGCAATTTTTGTAACCGTTGCTCGCTGATGATGAGTGCAATTAGATTTTTTTTTTTTTTACTAACTTCACTAAAATACTAAAATTACTTCCTAGATTTACCAACTGAAGTCATTTCCGCAGCACCAAACACACCTCGCCGACACGTATACCTGAGCTACGTGTTATTCAAGCTGACATGTGCCATCAAAAGTTTACTCTTTCATTGCACGCTGACAAACCCTCTTACCTTTTGCGCGTCTTCCTGTGGGAAAATCACTGGAGACAGAGCTTTCCTTTGTGTTGCAGCATGTCTCCACTGCCCCACAGTCACAGAAATCACTCGTTGTTGGAGGACAGATTGTTCATGAATTTTGTATCTCTCCTTTTGGCTTTTATGAATTAAAAATGGTCTTTGCCACAAGTTGTGCGCATCACTGAGAGGGACTGCCTGGAAGTGCCAAGTGCCATGTAAGGGCAGGCGTACGTAAACATATGCTGCTTTTGTTCGCCATGGATACATATTTTAGCATAGAACAATACACTTCGCCGCCGTTAGTGTAAAAGTGAAGCGGTCCCGGTGTTGAGCCTTGCGGGATACACGTGTAGATTGAACGTATGAAGTGGAACGTTTTCAAGGCAGAAAATAACTAATTAATTAAATGTTTTATTGTTAAAGCTGCACTGTGTAACTTTTCTGGTGGAGGGTCCATGAAATGAAACCTTTCTATTTTCATGGAGACCAAACCAGACCAAGTTACAGGTCAGATCTGTGGAGAGGCAACCCCACTCACAGTCAGAATGTCTGTTTTTGTAGGTATTTTTGAGCTATAAAACCACCTGTAATTTAATAAATATAAAGTAGAATTGTTTAATGTCATAATTGCCACGTTTATCAGAGAGCTTTATTTCAGAATAAAGATGATTTAATTATGAATAAAAATGATTTCTGCTTTAAAAAGACCATGTAAACACTTAATTCCTAATGAAAATGATTATTCGGAATTAAATTTAAATAAGATGGTGGTTTATTCCGATTCCGAAGTCGAATTAATTTATTCTTCCTCCCTTCTCCGACACTCTTCCCTTCTCCTCTTCAGCCGACAGACGTAAAGCGTGATGAGAGAATTCTCCAGCTGCTGCGTAATTATCATCGGAACGACTGTGGAAAAAGTTTGGATCATGTTTGTGTCCGTGATGTAACGACAAACCGAGATGACAGAAAAGCCGGTAGAAGCTGAAGTGTGTGTTTTCTTAAAGTCGTTTAAGAAATTGTTCGTAAATACATTCGTGTCTCTGTCCAATCAGAACCTTCCCCACCCCCAGACGATGAGTGGAATTAAATAAAACTGATTTAACGTGTTTTCCATGTAAACCTCAATTCTGAATTATTATTTCCATGTAAACTCGAAGGACAATATTTTAATTCCAAACTATTTAATTCAGAACAGTCATTTCGGAATTAAGGCAGAACAATGACATATCCGTAGAAACACGCAGGGGATGGACCCCCAATCAAAAAGTTACACCTTTAAAATCCTTTGAAATAGCAAAACAAAAGCCTATAACTCTTCTTAGATGACTTATTTAGACTTTGTTTCAGGAAATATGCTCGTTCACTAAAGGCTTGTGCTCCTCGGTTCTTCCTCTGATTGACCGGAAAATCTATAGACAGCATTAAACAAATCTCTACCAGTAATAGTCTATATAAAGTATTCCATTTGTAAATCAATGTTGACTATAATATAAGAACACTTCCATAGAACCTTGAGGTAGAAATGTTGTTGTGAACTGTGAATGCAATCGGCTGCACTGATGCTGCTTTCATGCGCTGCTGAGTAAATGTGGAAGTTGCACATGAAAAGTGACGGCATGTTTTTTTAGGGTGGGATTTGGGTTTAAAAAAATAGCTAATTAATTAAAGGCTTTGTAAGTAATTAATCTCAATTAATCACATAACTATATTTGTCCAAAAGCAACATTTATTTAATGTAAATTACCTCTTGTCATTGTCAACCTCTTGTTTGTACTTGGACCAGAACTGCTCCCGCCAGCAGCTCCAGAAGTTTCTATGCTCGCTGTGACATGTTTTGTATTTAAAGGGCCCATCTCATGCAAAATCAACTTTTCAGAGCTTTCTACCTTCTATGAGTGACGTGTGGGCCTTGTATATGCCGTCGATTCAGCGATTTTTTTATTTTTTTTTAACAAATTGCAGCGTATTTCTCCCACCCTCCCATGTGACAATGAACTAAAGCTGCTACAACGATGACGCGGCTGATACACCTGTGACGCGTTTGACGTAGCAGAAAGCGCTTTGCATCGTCTGACAATTCCCACATGAACACCTAAACAAAAGCGACAGCATGAGCTCATTGTTCTACACTGCAGTGAACACGATACAATAAGTTTATCTACTAGTGTTTATTAATACTTTACCAATCAATAATGTTCAGCTGATGTCGATGCGGTGCTTGAGCTTCATGCACCTCCAAGTCCTCGTCCAATTCCGGGTCCAACACATGCGGCTGAACGCGCTGTATCTCCATGATGATTAAAGTTTATTCCTGCCACTATCAGGGTGCACGTCTGTCTCCCCCTCCCTCCCTGAGATGGCGGAGGAAGGGCGGCTCACTCAGAGCCTACGTGACGTTTGGAGGGCGGAGCCTGTGCTTTCTCAGGACGGGCGGGAAATGAGCAATAGTCGGACTTTCACAGTTCCTGGTCTGTGACTGTCTCCAAGAAATCAGTAAGATTTCATAACTATTGTGTAATGGATGTTCCAAAACCCAAATTGTGCTTGTTTATGTGCAGAAGATACAATGTGAAAAGAGTTATTTTGCATGAGATGGGCCCTTTAAATGGTATCATATGGTGGAGGTGCTTCGATATGCAAAATCTTCTCTGCACAGTTTGCAATAAACGACGCCTTTGTCAGTACATCCATCAGGTAGTTTTTTTTTAAAATATAAATTTACCATCCAGCAGACCCAGAGAACTTTCATGCTCCATTGTCGTTGTCGGAACTGTGTGCTTCAGTATAACTGGCGTATCATGACATGGTCCACTGGCAAACATTCTGTGTTGGTTGGCATGCAAACTGTGATAAAATGCATTAATGTTTTTAATGCATTATTTTACTTTACACTATAATGAATTCATTGTAATTAATGTGTTAATGTTCCACCCCTAGTTTTTTTTTTAATGTTGAAAGACAAACAAAGAGTATGAGAATAAGTCTGTTACTTCCTAGGTTTACTTTAAAGAAAGTTTATGGATCTCCAACAGACCATTTGATGTTGCTAAGGTTGAGTTGTCACACTACACTTTTACAAGCACAGTTATTGCCTGACCATGTACTGATCACTTTGTTTGACATGAGCCTCACACCTTTTGTCAACAACCGCGGTATAAACACTGTCACTTTCTTTGTTGTTGCATGTAGGCAGTAAAACCAGAGGTCTATGTGTGTTTGTTTAAAATGTTCAG